GTCTGAAGCCAGAAGCCGGGAGATTTTTCCAGGTCTCCCACACGGGAGCAGAGCCCCAAGCACTTCCCAGGCACATTAGCAGGGAACTGAATTGGAGTGGAGCAGCCAGGACCTGAACCAGAGCTCATATTGCATGCTGGCTTGTAGGCAGTGACTCCACAACACCAACTCCTGTAATCTTTTAATTACATCTTTTCATGAAACTTTTGAAGCCTCCTTGTGTTGTTTCGGGATATAGACTTTGTGTTGTTTGTTTTTGTTTTTGTTTTTTTAAAGATATATTTATTTACTTGAAAGGCAGAGAGGGAGAAACAGAGATCTTCCATTGCCAGTTGACTCCCCAAATGACCGTATTGTCTGAGGCTGGCCCACGCAGAAACCAGGAGATTCATCCAGGTCTCCAACACTTGGGCCGTCTTCTACTGCTTTCCCAGGCACATCAGCGGTGTGCTGGATCTAAAGTGGAGCAGCTGGGACTTGAACTGCTGCCCACATGGAATGCCGACACCATTGGCTCCTTAGGGATATTGACATTTATGGTGAAAGTTTAAGGAAATGCAAGGGCTATATATTTCAAACTCAAGAAACACAAATGTGTCACACCTGGTTAGAGAGAAATAATAATAATGGAAACTAGAAAAACATTCTGATCTGGATGTTTATGGAAATACTACTTGGTTGAAATTTGTGGGATGCAGAAGAGCTCCTAGAGAAAATTGGTATTTATATTAGAGCATTTATATTTATATTAGAAAAGAAAGGTTGTAAATTAGCTGGGTGTACATCTCAAGGAGTCAGCCAGTGAAAGGAAATGTGAAAGACAAGAGTAGACTTGACGAAATAGAAAACTACTGTAGTCATCATTAGTATTTATAAACCTCTGATAAGATTATCAAGGGGTAAAAAGGCAGGAAAACACAAATAACTAAAATCAAGATTAAAAAGGGGAACATATTAACCAGTATTTCTGATTCTCTGTCACCAGCACAGGTTTCTTTTTAAAGACTTCAGAGGGTTCAGTAGTGTAGTACAAGTTGAGTGTTTATCTGAAATGTGTGGGACTAGAAGTGTGTGGGATTTCAAGTTTTTCCAGGTTTTAGAATGTTTCCCTATGCATAGTGATATATCCTGGGGAAGGGACCCAGGTCTGAATACAGGAATTGGTTATGTTTTTTGCATGCTTTATATAATTAGCCTGAATATGATTTTATACAATATTCTTAGAGTACCTATGTTTTGATAGTGAGCTGCCACATGAGGTCCTGTGTGGAATTTTCCACTTGCGGCATCATGTTGGTTCTCTACAAAGTTCAAATTTTGAAACATTTCAGATATTTGATTTAGGGATGCCCAACTTGTATTCAGGCTTCCCGCATCTACATAGAAATGGCCCACAGGGTTCTACTTGACTAGAGGATGTACGTTGGGAAAGAAAGGCCACACTGATCTCAGTCATTCCCAGAAGGGCTCAGGCCGTCCTCGTACCCAGGGAATACACTGCTGGTTGTATCATGGCACCTGTTGGTAGCAGATGGGCAGAACCAGATGATTTTGTAAGTAAGTGCTTTGTCAAGCTTTACGAACCAGAATTTTATTGAATCTTTTACCAGAATAGAAAAAGAAGGAAATCTTACAGATTATCATCTTTATTAGTATAAACTTGAAAGTAGAACTCAACAAATAGAATATTATAGCCCAGTCTCCTTTATTAATATTTATCATTGATTAATAATTGATAACAAATAGATGTGTATACAAGAAATCTTAAGTAAAATTTTAGCAAATATATTCAGGAATAAATTAAAATATAATAAATCATGGCTAAATTGGCTTCACCCTAGGCATGGAAGACTTGTTCAATAATAGGAGATTATTAAAACCATGCTATTTTAAGAAGTCAAAGAAAGGAAACTTTGATCATCTCATTAGATGCCAAGAAGGTATTTGTCAAAGTTTGTTATTTTTTACATTTTTAAATAAAAGTTAAATAGGAATATGTGGAGTCTTGTTTGTTTATTTTTTGGTGAAGATGTGTTTTGAAGACAATGTTTTTTGGTGATACCCATGAAGAATTCCAGTTTCCATTCAGAAGGAAGAAAACAAAAGTGTTCCCTGTCACCACTGCGTTAGAGCTTTGTAAAAGCACTCACTTATGCAGTTTGCATTTCAGTGGTGGACGAGGAAAGAGAATCCAAAAACCAACTTAAAGATACGGGAATTTAGCTTTGGGAGCATTGCCCCTGATGTTTGAGGAGGGTGTACTTAAACCCATGCCTTAGCAAAAATATTTACATTGATGAAGATTAAAAACAAAAAAAGAAACTTCAGTAAGAAAGCATGAATTAATTTATGTTTTTGTTGTGATACTTTCTTTTTAAACAGATATAAAACCCAGATGCCATAGAGGAGAAAAGTGGATACATGTATTTAAAATTCTGAGTGGAAAAATACTATTATAATCAAAAGACAGATGACAAACTGAGGAAAAATATTTGTACCACAAATGGAAAATTTCCTTAATTGACAAAGACCTTTTATAAATGAAAAGGACTAATTGTCCAATACAAACAAGACAAAGGATTTGAACAGGCATTTTGCAGAAAAGTAAATGTGAAAGGCCAGTAGACATAAACAATAATTACGTCTCTCATAATTAAAGCACAATTGGGTAGTACTTCTTACCTCTCAGCTGGGCTGTGCCTTTGGAGGTTTGATACTAACTCTGCTCCAGGGATGGTAAGGGATAGCAAGGTGGCTTTATAAATGATGGTAGTGGGAGGTGCGCGGTCATGGAGAGCAGTTTGCTGCCGTGTGTCAGCACAGAAAATGTATGAACTTGTAGACTCAGCTGTCCCACCAGCGGGGAATCTGGAGGGGTACTCCCCGAGCTTCCCAAGAAAGACATAATATGTGGCTTATTGCAACTCTGAGGGTAATAAAGCAAACACAAAAGGACCCTAAGCCCGGCACAGAGAATGTGAGTAGAGTTACAGCTCAGTCCATTTTAGCTGACTGTCAGTTGATCTGTGTCACTACCTCTCCCCTAAGGGTTTTCTTGGTGGCCATGAGAATAGAATCTTACTCTAAGATAGCAAGGGTCACAGGTGAGCCATAGTGCCACCTCAAGGCATGGCATTCTCAGCGAAGCTAAGCTGTATTTGGTGATGAGAAAGAGCCTGCTTGCCCCATGAACACTAGGAGCACAAACTAGGCCCCTGTCCAGCTCTGAGCTCCCAGAGTGTCCCTGCACGAGTGTCAGTAAAGATAGCTCAGTTGCTGAGCCAGCCCTGGCCTTCTGGAGATGTATGGAAGCCAGGCCCACCAGTACTATGAGAAATGCTGCTTGGTCCTGGCGCAGTTGCTCCCTGCATACTGGAAGAGCGGGGACTGTCAGCTTTCCACCTTGCTGAGCTTGCCCCACTGCCTAGTTCCATGAGTAATGGTGAATGGATGGTATTTGAGTCAGTAAATCCCAGGGAAAATCTACTCCCTTCCCCCTCCTCCATCAGTTTATGAGAAACGAGGAGTCTTGTTGAGAATTTGCTGTACTGCTAGTATATGGTTAACAGACATGAATGCTTAGCTGGGCAGAGATTTAGTTCAAGGATCCTATGTTCATAGGGACAAAGCATCTTAAAAGATAGGGGAGGGGCTCGATGGAGAAAGGACGGTTTCTGTTGGGAGGAATGGAGATACAGAGAATTAAATCCCATCCCACATCTTTCTAGCACCACTACCCCACGTTAACAGTCCTCTGTTCTTTCTGCATAGTTATGTGTGAGAAGTTGGCTACATCTGCTTAGGGTTTGATAAAAGCAGTTCTGTCTCTAGAAAGCTCAGAGACAGAAGCTGCTGTGTAGGTGTTGGTGCATGTCTGTTTATGACAGATAGTCCTACTCATGAAACTCATTACATAAACGTGGAGCTCAGCGTAGGCCTGCCTGTTAGTGGTGGATGTCGGGATACCTGTTTTCCTGCCTGAGAAACAAGTGATGATGGAGATCAGTGTGGACCTTCCTTTCTCAGCCGTCTCACTCCAGTGGGGCAGCCTCTGGGCCCAGTTGTGTGTGGATATAGGAAGCTTGGGTTCTGTTAGTGTACTCCATGCAGGCCTAAATTCCCCAGTGCTAGTGAGATTCAGAAATACTGGTTGATAGATCCGGATGGAGTTCCTGATACCTCATTTCTGCTGGCCAAGTCCTGGCTGTTGCAGCTGTTTGAGGAGTGAATCAGCAGGTGGAAGATGTCTCTCTGTGTCCCTTGCTTTGCCTTTCAAGTAAATAAATAAATTTAAAATATTGATTGATAAAAGTTATGTGATTTGTTGAGTCTTTGTTTTTTGGGGAGGGAAAATTCTATGTCTTTTTAATACGGAACTAGTTTTTGTAATATGTTCATGCAGTGATATGTTTTTAAATTCTTTAAAATTGAAATATTTTAAGACTTTTATAATAAATACTTAATTACTGAAATTATTCAGTTACTTACTTGCTTCTACTGACTTTCTGAAATTCACATTGGTATTGCCTGGCAGTGTAGGAACAAACCTATAAACATGAGTTTTACTAATCCAGCTCCAACCACCATATCCTGTTACTCTGTATTCTTCTCCTTTTTGTTTCCAAACCTGGCATAAATGCAAATATTTTGATTAAATCACATGAGTGATTTGCAAGGGCCTTCTAGTACAGTTATTCATTGATGAAAAACTGTAGTGTGTACTGTCAGTACCTTTTGTGTAAATACATAATGGGCTATGTAATATAGCAGTCCAAAAATTTTAGGGTAGGCACGAAATAGTTCAGGAATAAATCATAAGTACTGCTTTGTGGGGGAGCAGATATATTTTTGCCCCCTTTGTTTTTTATTTTCTTTTGTCCGGATTATGAGATTATAACCAGCCAGCCTTCAGACTCTCACCTAATTTTAAAATGCTGCCTCTCTTGTTTATTTTTCAAAGTTAAGTGTAATTTTCTTTGTCTCTATTCATGTGTACTTAGATTGCACAGGATGACATCAATTGAAAGAGAAGAAAAGGAAAAAGTCAAAAAAAAGGAGAAAAAACAAGAAGAGGAAGAAACAATGCAGCAGGCCACATGGGTAAAATACACATTTCCAGTTAAACATCAGGTAATTTTTACTCTAATCTTTTAAAATAGTGTTAACCATTTTTTCCATAACTTTGAATGCTTAATATTTTGTTTTACTTTTGGCACAATATTTTAATTAAACAAGTTGAGACAAAATACATATTCTGGCAACTTTATAGGGATAAGTTTATCTTTATAGACTATAGGAGGGTTATGCGACCATTTGTTGAAATTGTAATAAAACTGTAAAATTATGCTAAAATTTATTTATTAGAAAAAAGTAGTAAGTTCTTTTGTAAATCTTTGATTCTTAACAAAAACTTTTAGTTTGCCTGACTCAGTCTTGTTAGTAAAAATGTTTAAAACCACACCACCTCAAAAGCACTATCATTCCTCTGATTTAATCAAAATATTTTCGTTTATGCCAGGTTTGGAAGCAAAAAGGAGAAGAATACAGAGTGACAGGATATGGTGGTTGGAGCTGGATTAGTAAAACTCATGTGTATAGGTTTGTTCCTAAACTGCCAGGCAATACCAATGTGAATTACAGAAAGTCAGTAGAAGGAAGTAAGTACCTAAATTATTTTAGTAAACTTACTATTTATTATAAAAGTCTTAAAACATTTAATATTTTAATTAGTAATAATTATTTTCTGCATAACCATTTATGATTTGTATTTTTTAATAAATTATAGTATATTGGCCATATTTGGGGAAAAGCATATTTTGGAAATGTTTAATAGTATATGCAAAATTGCTAATACAGTTTAATTATGAACTCCAAATATTTAAAAAATTATATTGGGGCAGTTGTTTTGGCTCAGTGGTTAAGTTGTCCACATCCTGAATCAGAGTGCTTGGGTTTAAGTCCCAACTCCTTCCCTCTCCAGCTTTCTGTAATGCCCTGGGAGGCGGCAGGTGTTGGCTGCAGAACTTGAGTCCCTGCTACCACTTGAACACGTGGGTTGAGTTCCAGGCTCATGGTTTTGGCCTAGCCCCCAGCTCTGGCTATTGTGAGCATGGAGGAAATGAGCTAGTATATTGGAGAGCTCTGTCTTTTTCTCTCTGACTTCCAAACATATCAAACTAAAATTTTTTTAATTTTGTTACTTAAGATTTGAGTATCTACAATTTCAGTTTAAAAAATATAGGACTTGTTAAAAAGATCTCAGCTGTTTGATTGTAGTGTTTTCAGAATTTTAAGTTAATATTAGTCAACTTCTTAAAAAGTCAATGTTATTGATACCTCAGTATTATTGTACATAACAAAACCAGAAAGGAGTTGATACTGGGCATCCATAAGACTGTCACATAAATGAGCTGTTAATCTGTTGGCTAACAAACTTCAGTATTTAGAATCACAGAACTCTGGTGGTGAAGTGCCTTCTTAAGAGACTATCCAGGCCGGCGCCGCGGCTCACTAGGCTAATCCTCCGCATGCAGCGCCAGCACACCAGGTTCTACTCCCGGTCGGGGCATCGGATTCTGTCCCGGTTGCTCCTCTTCCAGTCCAGCTCTCTGCTGTGGCCCGGGAAGGCAGTGGAGAATGGCCCAAGTGCTTGGGCCCTGCACCTGCATGGGAGACCAGGAGGAAGCACCTGGCTCCTGGCTTCAGATTGGAGCAGCGCACCAGCCGTAGTGGCCATTTGGGGGGTGAACCAACAGAAGGAGGACCTTTCTCTCTGTCTGTCTCTTCTCACTGTCTGCCTGTCAAAAAAAAAAAAAAAAAAGAGAGAGAGAGAGAGACACTATCCATTTTCACATCTTGTTAAATGAGCAAATTATTTCTTGGAGATGCTGTGGGACATACTAAAGTTCACACATGTGAAGAATAAAGAACCCTGGCCAAAACCCATGTGTCCTGGCTTCTGTCACCCTTTCTGCTCTCTACCGGGTATCTCTCCTTGGTCATCTAAATGATTTTCAGTAGCAGTTCTCTTAGCTATGCAATATAAACTGCAAATTTATACTGTGATGTGTTCTTTTTATTAAGACTTATTTATTAATTTGAAAGTCAGTTACAGAGAGAGAAGGAGAGGCAGAAAGAGAGATCTTGTATCTGCTGGTTCACTCCCTAGTTGGCCGCAACAGCTGGAGCTGCACCAATCCAAAGCCAGGAACCAGGAGCTTCTATCAGATTTCTCACATGGCGCAAGGACCCAAGGAGTTGGGCCATCTTCCACTGCTTTCCCAGGCCATAGCAAAGAGCTGGATCTGAAGTGGAACAGCAGGAACTCAAATTGGCGCCCATATAGGATGCCAGCACTGCAGGCCAGGGCATAACCTGTTATGCCACAGAGCCAGCCCCCTGATATGCTCTTTCTTTGACACGTTTAGACTTGTTTAGGACATGATGAGGGTACTTGCACTTGCCTTCCTAACTGATGTTGCCAAATTGTGAATGGTTCTGCTAAGCCTGGAGTTGGAGGTTTGTAAAGGGGCCTGTGACTGTCTTAGATGCAGTAGATGCTCAGTGCCGTGCTCATTACTCAATCTTGTCATTATCTAATTATACTCATGTGAAATATAGATTATAGCAAATTCCAAAGGATCATCGCAAGTTCTTTTATTAACATTTTGTTGCTCCAATTACCCATTTAGCATTTAGACTTATACAGAGTGTTTTTTATTTAATTGTATCTAATCTAGTTTCACCTGTGAAATAAAATCCAGATTATTAATATACAGATTACTTATGCTTTTTCAGATTTATTTTATAGCAACTTTCCTTAGCACAGGCTTTTCTGCTGCTCAAATGCTGGATCCTGGTCTGTTCAGGGGCCAGATTGGCCTTTCTTGAGCCTTTCAGGGAGACAAAGGGAAGAAAGCACCAATGCGAGTTACATTGTCCAGGGCTCCAGGCTTAGAAGGTCACAGCAACCACCAGCTAATGTCAGACCCATCAGTCTCTATAATAATGGTTAACTTAGATTGTGTACTGAAGGCACAGATGTGCTAAAAAACAGAAATTTAGTTCAGGGAACTTTTTTTTTTTTTTTTAAGATTTTATTTATTTGAGAGGCAGAGTTGTAGACAGAGAAAGGGAGAGACAGAGAGAAAGGTTTTCCATCCACTGGTTCACTCCCCAAATGGCCTCAGTGGCCAGGGCTGGGCCAGACTGAAGCCAGGAGCCAGGAGCTTCTTCTGGGGCTCCCACGTGGATGGAGGGGCCCAAACACCTGGGCCATCCTCCACTGTTTTTCCAGGCCATAAGGAGAAAGCTGGATTGGAAGAGGAGCAGCCAGGACATAAACCAGCGCCCGTATGGGATGCCAGCTCCACAGGTGGAGGCTTAACCTACTGCGCCACAGTGCCCGTCCCTCAGAGAACTAACTCTTGGCTTGGTGTCAGAAGAACAGTGTCAGATTTGGGTGGCTGCTGACTGTGTGCCTTATCTCTGCTGTCTAATGTCACTCTAAAAGTAGGCATTTTTATTCTGCATTGATTTTTAAGCTCTAATAAAGAATACATATGATATCTTTTATGTCAGGTAGACCTTTAATGGGGGAAAAACTCAAATGTTTAATAGTTGTCTACTTTACGTATTGGGATTCTTGCAGCTTGTAGATAGGGCTATATAAGCTCTGTTGGAGCAACTTTGTTATAGGTATGTAGTCCTGTAGAACCTTTAGCTTTTCTTCTTTTTTAATGAAAAACAATAAAATATTATAGGCTGGGAAATACTTGATTGTTTCTATCAAATTACATATTTTAAAATAAAGCAGATTGCTGATATTGGAAGTACCTGTAATTGCCATATACGTGGTTCCTTTTAGCCAATAATAGTATGGATGAAAATATGGATGAGTCAGATAAAAGGAAAAGTCCACGGAGTCCCAAAAAAATAAAAACAGAACCTGATTCTGCGAAAGGTGAGGTGAAAGATTCAGACTCTGCACAAGGAGCAGCCCAGAGTGAGATGGACGTCTCCAGGAGTGCCGAGAAGGACCAAGGTAAGGGAGCCCGGGGAGGGTGGCCTGGGCGTCCTAAGAATGCCCTGGATCAGGTTCACTCCCCAGAAAAGACATCGCCTGTGTTGTCTTTCCTTACGTTGGACCTTAACTAGGAGGCCAAGTGTAACATTGTCTTTCTTTAGTAGCAGTTTTTTGAAGCATAATTTAGATCAGACAGTACACTCAAACTGTGTAAGTTCAGTGGTTTTTAGCATATTCACAGAATTGTTCAGCCATTGCCACATTTGATTGTAAAGCATCTTTATCACTTTGAAAGGAAGCCTCGTAGCACATTAGTTACTTCCCAGCCCCTCTCAGATGCTCCCAGTCCACCTATCCATTTTCTGTCTCTCCATTTATCTATTTGGGACATTACAAATGAGTGGAATCGCAGCATATGTGGCCCTCTGTGACTAGTGTCTTTCCCGTGGCCTGTTGTTTTCCACACGGCATCCATGTGTAGTAGGTGTCAGGACTTCAGTCTGTTTTATTTCCAAATAGTACTCCTTGATAGGGATTTCCCACTTCGTGTTTACCCGCTGACCGGCTGATGGACAGCAGGCTCTTCCTGCCTTCTGGCTCTTGTGAATTATGCTGCTGTGAGCGTTTGGGTACAGGTTTCTTTGTATTCACATGTTTCCACCTAGCTTGGATCTCTGCCCAGGAGTGGAATTACTTGATCATATGGTAACTCGATGCTTAATGTTTTCAGGACTTTACATTGTCTGTTGTAAAACATGTTTTTGTAGATACTTTATAAGCTAGAAAATGCATGTACCTAGAGGTACATGCTGTAAAATGCTATACAAAGTCTAATGTGAAGGTGCTGGTATTTGCGGTAGCCTGCCACAATGTAAGTAATTTTTAATTTTGTTGCATTCTATTATTTTTAAATACTAATAATAGAGTATTATAAAAGTAGGTATTTTTAAAAATTAAGACGTTCTCATGAGTTCCTCATTTCAGAGTAAAATTTGCATTTATGTAAATGTCTTTGTTTCGCAGATGTAAAAGAACTTTTAGATTCTGACCATAATAAATCCTTCAAGGAAGAACCAATGGAAATAGATGATGATGTGAAAACAGAATCCCATGTAAATTGTCAGGAAAGTTCTCCAGTAGATGTGGTCAATGTCAGTGAGGGTTTTCATCTAAGGACTAGTTACAAAAAGAAAGCAAAGTCATCTAAACTAGACGGACTTCTTGAAAGGAGAATTAAACAATTTACACTGGAAGAAAAACAGCGCCTTGAAAAAATGAAGTTGGAGGGTGGAATTAAAAGTGTGGGGAAATCGCCTACAAGTTCTTTGAAAAGTCTTTCTGAATCACCAGTAACAACAACAAAAGAAGGGTGTCAGAGTGACTTGGTTAGGCAGGAGCAAAGCCCCCATGCAAGTAATGAGAAATCTGAGGACTTGACTCAGGGATGTTCAGAAAGTGATTCCTCGGTCCTTGAAACTGGTGATCCTGGTCACACCACAAACAAACTTTACCCAAAAGAGCAAGCGTTAGCTGATGTCTCCATACAGAGCCCAGGGACAGACTGTCAGAAACAGAATTCTGTTGAAAATGACATAGACGAGAGTCTCCCGGAAGCTGCCAGTAAGGGGCAGGAACCCAGTAAGATCAAAACCAAAGGAAGTGGTTTTTTCATTGATGACGCTAAATTAGTCAGTGCAAATTACGTTGGTACCTTGGTTTGTAAGAACAAAAAAGCTCTCTTGCAGGAGGATAATGACGCCGTTTCTCCTTCCAAGAGCGGTTTACTTCCCTCAGCGCCCAGAAGCACAAAAGCCGTGGACTTGGAAGGAAAGTTGGGCTGTGACTCGGAATGTAGTAGCACTTTGGAAAATAGTTCTGATACTATGTCTGTTCAGGATAGCATTGAGGAAGACATGGTTGTTCAGAATAGCAAAGAAGGTATTTCTGAACAGTTCAGAACTCAAGAACAAGGTGTGGAAGGCTTGGAGCCATTGCAGTGTCAGTTTGTTTCTGGTAAGTCCCCTGGAAACGGTGATGACAGGCTGCAGGATAAGGTCACTGAAGCTAATGGTAAAAAAACAAGTCAGCAGAAAAAGTTAGAGGAGAGACCAGTTAATAAATATATTGATCAACTAAATCTCAAAAACACCACTGACAAAAAGAATAATGAAAACAAAGAGTCTGAAAAGAAAGGACAGAAGGCAGGCGCTCTTCAGGTAAATGGAAAAGATAAAGCAAAAGTGCATTTGAAAAGTGAATGTTTGAAAGATCTCTCTGAGAGCAAACTAGTGAGTGGTAATGTTGAACCAAAGGTTAATAATATAAATAAAACAATCCCTGAAAATGACATTAAGTCTTTGACTGTTAAAGAATCTGCTGTAAAGCCATTCATTAATGGTGATGTCATCATGGAAGATTTTAATGAAAAAATCAACTCAGAAACAAAATCACGGTCGCCAAGTTCTTCTGATGCTGAAGGTAACTACCAAGAAAGCTTGGGGACCCTGCCGTCAACCAAAGAATGTGACAGTACGCAGACTGCCACACCTCCACCATCTTACTCAGAAAATACTTCAGCAAATCAGATGGAAGATATGGAAGTTGAAACCTCCGAAGTTAAGAAGGCTACTCCATCACCCATGACTTCTGGAGAGGAATCTAATCTCAGTAATGACTTTGTTGATGGAAACGTCAATGGAGACTCTCAAAGAAAAACCGTCATCACAGAAGTGACCACGATGACATCCACAGTGGCCACAGAATCAAAAACTGTCATCCAAGTAGCAAAAGGCGATAAGCAAACTGTGGTCTCTTCCACAGAGAATTGTGCCAAGTCCACTGTCACGACCACGACGACAACTGTGACAAAGCTTTCCACACCCTCCACAGGCAGCAGCGTGGACATCATCTCTGTAAAGGAGCAGAGCAAAACTGTGGTCACCACGACAGTGACAGACTCCCTGACCACTGCAGGAGGCACACTGGTAACGTCCATGACTGTGAGCAAAGAGTACTCCACAAGAGACAAAGTGAAACTGATGAAATTTTCAAGACCCAAGAAGACGCGTTCAGGTACAGCTCTGCCATCCTATAGAAAGTTTGTTACCAAGAGCAGCAAGAAGAGCATATTTGTTTTGCCTAATGATGACTTAAAAAAGTTGGCCAGAAAAGGAGGAATCCGAGAAGTCCCTTATTTTAATTACAATGCAAAACCTGCCTTGGATATTTGGCCATACCCTTCTCCTAGACCAACCTTTGGTATCACTTGGAGGTATGTGCTCGAAAATGTATTTGGGGGAGGGAGAAAAGTTGGAAAGAATTCTCTCACAAAAGTATCTCATTTAAATAGATGAGGTTATAGAGATAAGACAGGGAAGCGTGTTCTTAATGCCCAAGTTAGTAATGGAAATAAGATAGAGAAAACTTCAAACTCGACCAGCCAGCTGGTAGGTGCTGAAGGTGCTTACTTAGGGAAAAATATTTAAAGACTTAAAATTTAAGGGAATCACTTAAAGTGAAATTCAATTTCATAAGACAAAAGGGATATATCAGTCATGGCTGCTTTTGTGATTTAGCTTTCCAAGTTACTGTCGTGTTTCCTTTGGGAACAGAACAGCCATAGAATTGGATAATCACCGACTTTCTGGAATGTTTTACATTTTATTTCCATTTCTGTAAGGCAATTCATAAAAACATAAAACATATGAAAACATGTCTAAATTTCATCATGATTTGGAAGTCTTCCTAATATGATTTATTTGCATGATGAACATTTGTTTTCAGAGTTTTCTGTTATTTGTAAGAAAAGGTAGTCTCTCAGATTTCTTAGGACTTTTCTGAAACCCAGAAATAGTCCTATTTAAAAACTTTCTGGGCACTTAGGTCTGGGAATGAGTCATAAGTTCATAGTGTCAGCAGTTGTAAAATCACACAGTTTATGTTGGGAAGGGTTCTTACAAATTCTTATCCTTTATATATGTACAACAGTTTGCCTCTAGCTACAGAGGGACAGAATTAGAAATAGTTCCTAGTTTCCTAAATGCCGTTCTGGTACTTTATCTGCTATATCACATTTCACACATTTGACCTTGCTTTGTCCTTTTTTCATGTCTGTCTCTATCTTTTCACCGTTAAAATCAAGAAGGATGGAACCTAAACAGTGAAAACATGGAGTTCTGGGAACAGGCTTGGTCATCAGGGTTGATCTTAGTTGCAGCCAGATTTTGCTGGGATCCTGAAGTTACTATTGCTAAGCAGATTTCATTTCTCTTTATGCTTTTTTCTATGTGTCTTTTAATATGTTTCAAATTTCTTTAAGTTAAAAATCATACATTTTTATTGCCTTTCTTTTTCAACCAGCTAATGTCAGAAAAGTCCAAACAAAGTAAATAAGTGCTTTACTGTAAAGGAATTGATTGACTAAGACGGTGGACCAGTCTCAGTTTGTTAGACCAAGTGTATTATGTCTCATCGTTTGATTTTAAATAAAGTATCATCACTCCGTGACACATTCCATAGAGACAGCTGAAAAGTACAATTTCTCTGCAGGGCCTGCAATGAAGGATTTGCAGAATCCTGCAGGGAATCAAGGAACTCTGCATTACAATTCATGGATTTGTAGGATTGCTCTGCACTTTTCTGCTTTCTTCATTGAGAGCGGTCCCAAAATGTGTCCTTGACTGTCCTGCAGGTAACTTCTTTCCCACTGGAAAAGTTACTGTGTACCAATACTTGAACTTGAATGACCTGGCCGTTGTGGAGGCCGGCCTTTCTGCTCGTTTCTGTTCTGAAATGGAAGGTTGGCCTGACAGGGAAGAATTTTTCTCTGAATTCTGGAGGATCAGTCACTAGTCCTAACCTAGTGGTGGTCAGGGCCCTTCTCTGCAGTGCTGGGTTTCAGGAGCCTGATGTTACAATGTATTACTCTGTACGGTGGCACCATTTGTGTCTGTATGGTTAATCTCTAATTGCTTAATGGAAAGAAATACCTCTGGTTCATACTGAACAGATATTGCCTTCACATGTATGCTGAAGTCTTAATTTGCTTAAATTGACAGAAACATAATCCCTTCTGTTTAACAGAAGCGTGGGCAAATGTATAACTTCGTCCTGACTTTAGACTACATTTAAAATATATAAATCACTATAAAAACCGTGCATGTGAAATGTGTTTTTATACTAACACTTGAATGAAATACATCTGTAGCTTCGAGTAGGCGCTAGGAATGCCAGAGGTGCACCTAAGATCCTTTTTCACTTAGTCTTAATGCTGAGCAATATAGGAAAAGTGAAACCTTGTGTCACAGATGCAGTTGAGCCTCATTCCTCTCCAAGTTGTCCATTCCCTTAGGCCCTTTCCCCCAGGCCCTGGTTCTGTGTTCCATTATCTCAGAAGTGGTGGTTGTCATCCACAATGCCAGCGCATCCTGTGAATGTTCTGAGTGAGCTGACGGACGTGCGGACTACTGCAGGGAGGGAAGGAGGAGGCACTTGTCAGCTGTGGATCACACCTAGGAGAAGTACTTCCCTCTAAAACCCATCTAATGCTGGATAAAACCTCGGAGGCTTTAAAATACATAGTCTTGGCCGTTCTTTACACCTTCAGTCTGCTGCAGCATACCTGTCTTCCGCCTTCCTCTCTCATGCCAGCCTCGTCTCCTCCTGCGCCCTTACACCCCTTCCCTCCAGCCCAGCAGCCCCGATGCGGTTTCTGTGGGCAGTGTGTGCTCCTGCACGCTTTCCTCGTGAGTGTATGTGTGCCCTTGGCCGCGCTCTGCCACTCCATACCCCTCACTTGTCCTTTGAAACTCCAGCAGAGGTCTGATCCCCACCCCTAAGCCAAATCAGATGTCTCTCCCTTCCCCCCACCAACCCTGTAGAACAGAGACAGTCTGTGTTCCCAGATCCTTTCACAGAGTCCAGCTCATAGAAGTATTTTCTGAGTAGATGAATGAATGTGCAGGCTGATAATCCAGGACGTGTGTGTTCCTTCCCTCGTGGTAGTTCCATTTTGAAACAGGAATGCTTTATTGTCACATGAGGAGTGATTGGGGGGAAGAGGAGGAATGAGAACAAACCTTTCTTTCCAAACAAATGTTCGTTTGCTTTCCCCCTGAGACCAGAGTCGCCTAAGAGTTTCTGTGGATGTGGTCTGAAAGTGACAGACGCTCGCCCACCTCCCATTTCAGGGCATCCCTGCACTCGTTAACCTCTCCTCTCAAAGTTTAGAGGTGTTCTGTCCAAGTCAAAGGATTCATAGGGAAGGAGCACCAAGAAGAAAATACCGGTGTCACCGGTGCAGGTGGGAAGTTACTAAGAAGCTGCAGTAACTTTGGCCAGAGCTTTCCCTGTGTCACCTCAGTTATACAGGGGAAAGCACGACCTTTCAAATGCAGCATTGTCTAAGCTTGACCTCTGACCTCTGATAGTGGGACAAATCATTTTCATCTTACAGGCTTTTTGTGCCCTGCAGTCAGCCACAATGTTCATTTAAGTAATGTGAAAATGTCAACAAAGTAATTACACAAAGACCCTGATAGAGAATTGATAGCAAAATATTTTATGGCCAGTTCTGTTTAGGGCATGATATTCATTGCAGTTGGAAAACATTCACTTTGAAATATGCTTGTAGTGTTACTTTTAAAAGAACATTAAAAATGTTTGTTAACTTTTCATACACAATGCTTAGGGGAAAAGTGAGAATGCAGAGAGATTCCCTTGTCTCCTGACTAGTCACTAATATAGTGTTGTCCTTTTTCTAATAATGTTTTATTATTCACTGTAAGATTCTAAAACCACACTAATGTTTGGAAGTATCATTAGTATTAGCAATGTTCATCATCTAGTAGTTCGTGTTTTGAAGAGCCACCATTTGCATACAAAACTTTCTATCCATTTGGAAAAGTCTTGTTACTTTTGCAAGATGTCTTTGGTTTTGCTGAGCTTTTTGAGAAAATTTAAACATTTTCAGGTTTTGTTATCAGCAAAAAATGAATCAGTCAAGATTGTATACTTCAAAACTCCTCTATCATGTTTAGTAACACAATCGTTTTTCTGTATTTGCCATCCTTAATTTTTCTAAGAGGTGCTTTGGAATTAGGTTAGATTTATAAAACTTTAAAAGCTTGTTACCTTATCAACCCCTTACCATGCAATATGCTCACTTTACAAATACAAATTTATATGGCATTTGAAGTGACTGTAGATCTGTTTTAAGCTGTTACATGCATGTTATGCCTAAGAACAAAAAAATTTTGTTTGTCAGCATATAATGCCAGAGTCTTAGAGAACTGTATTATAGGTGCTAAAGTCATAATAAGGACAAGAAACATAGCGTTCAGTTTAGCAGAACATGTGTTTGTGTGTGTGTGTGTGTGTGTGTATGTGTGTATGTGTACACATCTGGTTTTACTTGGATTTTTCTTTCAGGTATAGACTTCAGACTGTGAAGTCCTTAGCTGGAGTGAGCCTGATGTTACGGTTACTGTGGGCAAGCTTGAGATGGGATGACATGGCAGCCAAGGCTCCTCCAGGGGGAGGGACTACCCGGACAGGTAGGGGGAGTTATTTTCTAATTTAAGCTTCAAAGAAAATCACCTAACCATTCACTTAATTTGTAAGCATTTCTGTTTGTGAAAATAAAGTGCTTGTTTTGTGAAAACACATTCACATGCTATAAAATCCTGGGGTTCCCAGGGGGTATTCAGATTTCATAAATGATTGATTCCCTCGTACATGAAGCAGCCTGAAGTTTAAACAGATATTTATTGTTGTGGAATGCAAGTCCACAATGAAGTTAATAATTTTGACTATTTATTTTATTTATTTGAAAGTCAGAGATCTTCTGTCCTCTGGTTCATTCTCCAAATGGCTGCAACAGCCAGGGCTGGGCACAGCTGAAGCCAGGAGCCTGGAAATCCATCTGGGTTTCCCCCATAGGTGACAGGGACCCAAGCACTTTTGCCCGCTTCCACTGCTTTCCCGGGTACAATAGCAAGGAACTGAATCAGAAGTAGAGGAGCTGGGATTTGAACTGGTGCTCACATGGGATGCTGGTGTTGCAGGCAATTAACCCGCTGTACCACAACGCTGGCCCCAAATGTAAGTCATTTAAACTAAGACATCTGGAACCCTGTACTTGCCACCAGGAGCAAAGCTGTACCCTACAGTAGTGTTTTGTTCGGTGTAGAAGTTTTCCCTCTGTAAGTTCAGTATGGCAGTCTAACAATAATCTTGTTGTCATCGATTAATCAGTCGCATTTCCTTGCAGAAGCACCAGATAGCATATGTACTTTTTAATCTCTGAGAATTTTAGGTGGTTATTAATACTATGTGACTTAAATCACCATAGAAACTTCTGAAACTGAAATCACAACAACAGAAATAATTAAGAGGCGAGATGTTGGTCCGTATGGCATTCGGTCTGAATATTGTGTCAGGAAAATCATTTGCCCCATTGGAGTTCCTGAAGCACCCAAAGGTAAGGAATGCAAAGAATTGGACGCTTTCATTATTAACCTGTTAGTCATAAACTTTGTGAGTTGAAATTTGATTATAATTATTTCCTTAATTATTTATTCAGCTTTTGAAAAAGACATTTTTTACTTCTGACTCCTGTATTTAATACAAGACATTTAAGTAACAGACATCAAGACTCCATGATGCCCACATTGATGCCTTAGCACAGGTGCAGTGAAGATGCGGGGTGCAGACTGATGCCAGACCATCAGCTCCAAGGGCAGCTCCCTGCGTTCTCCAGAGTCTTCTGGGTCCGGCACCTGGTGCAGAGCCCTAAGTGTAAGGCTGTTGTGAAATACTTGAGTGCTCAGGGTACATATACTCTAGGAGTCAGAAAAAGTACTGTGGAAACATTGGTAGAGCAGCTAGCTAAGAGGCAGTAGGCAGCAAATATGTAGAAGAATGAGACTCAGCCCGTTTTTCAGGAAGCAAAAAAAAAAAAAAATAGAATTCTGATATCATTATGTGTGAATGCCTTGCAGTAAGATAGGAAAGATTTGTAAGTGGTACATATCTGAAAAGAAGCATGCTAACAGTATCTTGTAGATAATTCTGAAAGCCTAGGAAACTCATGAGAATGAAAAGTGACTAATGCCAAAAAGAGTTATTTGAAGTGTCCAGATTGAAGTTTTACAGACAGTGATTACTTTAAAGTTTTTAGAAAAAATCTATTAAGAAATGTGTTTTTAAAAATGATGGCCTTCGGCGCTGCAGCTCACTAGGCTAATCCTCCGCCTTGCGGCGCCGGCACACCAGGTTCTAGTCCCGGTCGGGGCGCCGGATTCTGTCCCGGTTGCCCCTCTTCCAGGCCAGCTCTCTGCTGTGGCCTGGGAGTGCAGTGGAGGATGGCCCAGGTGCTTGGGCCCTGCACCCTATGGGAGACCAGGAAAAGCACCTGGCTCCTGGCTCCTGCCATCGGATTAGCGCGGCGCGCTGGCCGCAGCACGCCGGCCGCGGCGGCCATTGGAGGGTGAACCAATGGCAAAAAGGAAGACCTTTCTCTCTGTCTCTCTCTCTCACTGTCCACTCTGCCTGGCAAAAAAAAAAAAAAGATGGCCTTAAAAAACATATTATTTTATAAAATTTCTCCCCAATGTACTTAAATTTTAAATGTAAAATTGTTTGACCTTTGGAACTTGTTACACTAACTTTAAAGCTCATCTTGGAGAATAGATGGCTAAAAGTGGCCTCTTGGAAAGGAACACTATTAGGGCAGCATTGTCCTAAGAGAGGGTGAACGTCATGCGAACAGTGCGGCCTGGCAGGGGAGTAGACAGGCAGGTGGGAGGTGTTCCTGACAGGACTTCAGCCTCCTCGATTTTTTAAAATCTTACCATTAGGCAATTTTGTTTATCTTAATCTTTGCTTTTCTTGGTAACTTTGTCAAGGGAAGGTACATCTTGTCAATTTGTACATGACAAGGATGTCAAACTCACCACGAGTGCAGTGTGCTGGGCTTGGGAAGGAAGTTGTGTCCAGGTTAGGATCTGAAGGCTGAGTGCTGGCAGGTGGCTGAGGGAGGGGCTCGCAGTGTCCCAGCAGGGGGGACAGGGCGTGCCTGGGCTCGGAGGTTGGCCAAGCGTGGCCCATGAGCCGTGCTGACTGCCTGCTTGTGTAAATAGTTTGATGAGAACACAGCCACGTTGCTCACGTAGGTGTTGTCTTTGGCCCCTTGCACCATACAAAGGCAAAGTTGAGGAGCTGCAGCAGACTCTCTGGCCTGCAGAGTCTTGAGTATTTGTACCATGTGGCCCTTTAAGAAGAAACCGTTTGCCAACTACTGCTTTTTGTGATATGAGAGGAGATGCCAAAGGTACTCTTGTTATAGAAGCTATATTGCTTAAGATACTTTTATTTTCTTTTTTCAAAGAAACACCTACACCTCAGAGGAAAGGGCTTCGGTCTAGTGCATTGCGGCCAAAGAGACCAGAGACACCCAAGCAAACAGGCCCTGTCATTATTGAAACCTGGGTGGCAGAGGAAGAGTTGGAGTTATGGGAGATCAGGGCCTTTGCTGAGAGGTAAGGAAATAGTTAACACCTGTCAGGTGTTGGAAGAGTTTATCACTTCAGAATTAAAGAATTAATACTTGAAAAGCTTATTATGTTCTACTTAATTTTATTCTACTTTTTGATTGTAAGTACTGTCATATACAGTGTTTTAAAATTCTATTTTGGCCGGCGCCGCGGCTCACTAGGCTAATCCTCCGCCTAGCGGCGCTGGCACACCGGGCTCTAGTCCCGGTCGGGGTGCCGGATTCTGTCCCGGTTGCCCCTCTTCCAGGCCAGCTCTCTGCTGTGGCCAGGGAGTGCAGTGGAGGATGGCCCAGGTGCTTGGGCCCTGCACCCCATGGGAGACCAGGAAAAGCACCTGGCTCCTGGCTCCTGCCATCGGATCAGCGCGGTGCGCCGGCCGCAGCGCGCCGGCCGCGCCGGCCATTGGAGGGTGAACCAACGGCAAAGGAAGACCTTTCTCTCTGTCTCTCTCTCTCACTGTCCACTCTGCCTGTCAAAAATAAATAAATAAATAAATAAATAAATAAATAAAAATTCTATTTTGTAATGTAGTCTCTGATTATCTTTTAAGTGTTTGATTTTTAAATTGAAGTCGTGGCGTACTTTTGTATGAGGTGAAAGTCAACTAGATTTCACGTAAGTCGGTCGTCAGATGTCTGAGAGGGTCGTCGCTGATCGGTTCCTCCTTCTTTCCTACAGAGTGGAGAAAGAGAAAGCACAAGCAGTTGAGCAGCAGGCTAAGGTCAGTGAACGGAAGGCCCGGGAGGACTTCCAGGCCCAGGTGGAGGCTGCCCTGCGGCAGTAGAGTGGGCTCCCCAGCAGGTGGGGGGGGGTCGCAGCGAGGCCAAATTCCTGCACACCGGAAGTACAGTATTGTATATTCAAGTGGAGTTTTAAAAGTGGATCTCACATAGAAGTAGTCTGGAAAAAGCTCATGGAAAAGGCATTTTAGGAAAACATTTCATGGATTTCAGTATTTTTTTTTGCAACAAAATAAAGTATCTTTTGATTCCATTTTCCATGAACTTTTAGGAGTACTCTTGCATATAATCTCATTACTTACAAATACCTGTGATACATCAGGCTGTGGTTTTACAGAAACAATGTGTGTATTTGGAGGAATTTAAAATAAGATTTCTATTTATTATCTTCATAATTCTATGAGTAGTTTTTATAAGTAACTTTTTCCTGCAATATTCTGATCTATAAAATCTCCCTTTTATGCAAAAAGCAATTGTATTAAAACTCTGAGTTTGTTGTAATTACTGGTCCTCAAGTTGCTAATAGCTTCTTAGCATTCCCATATAGTAAATAATGTATGTGTGTGTCTGAGTATTTGGAGCCCAAATATTTACTAAGAAGAGAGTATCAAAGTTTGAAACCACCTTGAGACTAAGAACTTTAAGGATATAGATGTAGTTATTAACATAACTTATTAACATAGTTATAAATAACTTTATAAATCACATATAAATCACAGTATTCATTTCAGACTAATCATTTCACATTTTATAAACACTTTAAAATTCTTACAAAATTTTTTTAGGATTGATTTATTTATGTATGTATTTGAAAGGCAGAGTTACAGAGAAAGAGATCTTCCACCCACTGATTCACTCCCCAAGTGGCCACAGGCTGAAGCCAGGAGCCAGGAGCTTCACCTGGGTCTCCCACATAGGTAGTAGGGGCCCAAACACTTGGGCCATCTTTTGCTGCATTCCTAGGGACCTGGATTGGAAGTGGAACAGCCAGGACTCAAACTGGTGCTCATAGGAGATGCCAGCGTCACAGCCCACAGCTTAATCCACTGTGTCACACACTGGCCTCCTTGTGATTCTTTTAGTTTCCCTTAGGTCCTTGTCTTCAGGTACATCAAAGGTCAAGAGAATAGCACTTTTATTTATTTATTTTTTAAAGATTCATTTATTTATTTACTTGAAAGACTAGAGACAGACGAGAGAGATCTGTGTGCTCGTTCACTCTCCAAATAGCAGAAAAGGCCAGGACTGAGCCAGGCCAATAGCACGTGCCGTGAACTCCATCCAGGTCTCCATGTTGGTGGCAAACCTCAAGCACTGGAGCTGTCATCTGCTATCTTCCCAGATGAATGAGCAGGAAGCTGTGTGGAAGTAGAGCAATCACAGTTCAGAGTGACACTCCAGTATGGCTTGTGGGTGTCCCAAGCGCCACAGCAGTCACCCCAAGAAAATAGCACTTTTAGATTCTGTGATTTTTATTTGTCATGGGAAATTTGTCTCTAAACACAAGTATCTGTTCAAATCAGCCATCTGAGAGCTGGATCGGAAGAGTAGCAGCTGGGAGTAGAACCGGTGCCCATATGGGATGCCGGCACTTCAGGCTGGGACTTTAACCCACTGCGCCACAGTGCCGGCTCCCAAGAACTATCTTTAACTCTGTAGTTGTGAAGGTCTGACTGTACCACTCTATATAAGATAGTCTTTCTGTAAAAATGTTTGAACCAGGGGCCGGTGCCGCGGCTCACTAGGTTAATCCTCCACCTTGCGGCGCCGGCACACCGGGTTCTAGTCCCGGTCGGGGCGCCAGATTCTGTCCCGGTTGCCCCTCTTCCAGGCCAGCTCTCTGCTGTGGCCCGGGAAGGCAGTGGAGGATGGCCCAAGTGCTTGGGCCCTGCACCCCATGGGAGACCAGGAGAAGCACCTGGCTCCTGCCATCGGATCAGCGCGGTGCGCCGGCCGTGGCAGCCATTGGAAGGTGAACCAACGGCAAAGGAAGACCTTTCTCTCTCTCTCTGTCTCTCTCACTGTCCACTCTGCCTGTTAAAAAAAAGTTTGAACAGAACAGTGTCTGAGCTCCAGAAAATGTTTTCATGACTTTCCGCCTGCTGGATCACAGGGGTGGGTGCCACCTGGACTTGTGACAGTAGAGGCTGACGTGCGTTTGTCGTTGCGTAAATGAACATGACAGGAGCCAGACCTCGCAGCTGCCGTCACGTGCTCTCTGCTTTAGTTCTCACTGCTGCGCATCACTTCTTCCTGGCTCCAGGAAGAGTCCCCCCATTTATTTTCATTCTGGACACGTTGGTATTTATGCAGACTGGCAAAGTGGGATAATTTTTAATTATCTAATGTGAACAGTGTAGTACTTTTAATGAAATACATGTGATGTAGAGACATGAAAATTCTGCCTTTGTGAAGACATTAATAAATTCAAGGGTAAATTTCTATGGGCATAGTTTCTTTCCAGAAGTAAAATATCAGAGGGGGCTGGCACTGTGGCACAGCGGGTTAACGTCCTGGCCTGAAGTGCTGGCATCCCATATGGGCACCGGTTCGAGACCCGGTTGCTCCACTTCCAGTCCAGCTTTCTGCTATGGCCTGGGAAATCAGTAGAAGATGGCCCAAGTCCTTGGGCCCCCGCACCTGCGTGGGAGACCTGGAAAAAGCTCCTGGCTCCTGGCTTCAGATTGGCGCAGCTCCAGCCGTTGCAAGCCATCTAGGGAGTGAACCAGCAGATGGAAGACCTTTCTCCCTCTGTCTCTCCTCCTCTCTCTGTGTAACTCTGACTTTCAAATAAATAAATAAATCTTTAAAAAAAAAAAGAAGTAAAATATCAGAAATTTAGGGTTTCTTAGGGTGGGAGAAATAGACACTAGAATTTAGCAGAATGGTTGTTTTTTTTATTTCAAACTATGTTGGTTCACTCCTTCTTATCTCCGACTTTCTTAGAAACGTTTGGAGCAGCAGAAACCTACCGTCATTGCTGCTGCCAGCACTTCCCCAGCAAACAGTACGACCAGTACCATCTCTCCAGCCCAGAAAGTCATGGTGGCTCCCATAAGTGGCTCAGTCACCACTGGAACTAAAATGGTACTGACTACTAAGGTTGGATCTCCAGCTACTGTAACATTCCAGCAGAACAAGAACTTCCATCAGACCTTTGCTACCTGGGTTAAGCAAGGCCAGTCTAATTCAGGTACACACCTGTGGTTACGTAAACCGATCGCTTCCACTCAGGAGAAGGAATGTCCGGTCCTTTACCTGCTGAACTGAAACACTTCCTTAGGGGTTATCTTTCTTCTGCAGCGGATTGTGCAGAGAAGCTGTAACAGTCGGTGTGTTACAGATAAGATCCATAGGATTACATTAGCAAAACTGCTCTCTTACATGATTTCACTCTCCACACTCACACAGTTCACTTTCTACGTGGAGAGGCATGTGTTGATTAGAAATTCAAACTGAGCCACGTTTCATGCATTGGTGCCCTTCCTGGAAGTCAGTATGTTGCTGGTTCTTTTAAATCTAAAGCTTATTAAATGTCTTATACCCCATTAGCCACCAGCACAGCTGCCACATCTGCTCCAACCATTGCCAGCACAGGTCAGACGTTCCAAATTACAGGCAGTCCCGTCACTATGGCAGGAAAAGTAATTACCAAACTGCCACTTCCTGCAAACAGCAAGATTGTCGCTGTAAATGTGCCGGCAACACCAGGAGGTAAGGGAAGAGAAGAGTTTCAACTCACATTTGCCAGATCATACTGTTGCCATTATTCTTCATTCCCCCCACTGACCTCAGTCTCGGACCTCGCATTCTGTGTAGCCCGCTATACAACCCTGCCACGCGTGGTCCCTCCTCAGCAACCGAGCAGCACTCATGCTTTTCATCGAGGCGCCGTTGCTAACCATTTCTTCATCTCTTTTTTTTTGGTCTTTGTGCTTTTGGCTTTTTTAAGGCGTTGTTCAAGTGCAGCAGAAGGTCCTGGGTATCATCCCGTCGAGCACGGGGGCGAGTCAACAGACCTTCACTTCGTTCCAGCCCCGGGCAGCCACCGTCACCATCAGGCCCAACACCTCCGGCTCTGCGGGAGCCACGGGCACGTCCCAGGTAAGAGCCCTTCGCGCGCGCCTTTCCTCCTGCAGCCTCTCGCGTGCACGGCGGGTTGTGGACTTTGGAAGCGGCCCCTTCCAGCTGGCTTTCCCTCACCTTCTACTTAATCAGTGACAAAGTACAGATTGTGAAAAGATGTATTTGTTATATTTATGATAACTAAAAATGATACATGAAATACCAGTTTTTAATATTTAGTTAGTACATATACTTTATGAATAATAATTGCTTTCTAGAAAATTATTTGGCATAAAAACCACCTAAGGATGGTGTTGTTCAGCCTAGCTAAGAAGTAAAGTCAAAAATACAGTCTCTTCCTAGAATTGGTTTGTTTTCAGCCGCTATGTGTACATATTAGATGCATCATTTCATTGGTACTGGTAGATGGAAATGGTTTTTGAACAGTTTTGAAAATTTTCTGACCCTGCCAGTAAAACTGAAAATAACATGCTCCCTTCAACAGTATGAAAGAGCATTTGGTTTCCGATCTTGTGTCTTATATTCTCTCGGTAACTGGTGTGGGTTGGAGCTTAGAGAAGATAGGTCTCAGCATTTTCCTGTGACAGGTAGTTACAGAGCAGAGCCCTGCCGAGTCTCGCGCCTTTCTTTGAGTCTGCCGGCTGTGCTTGGTACCAGTGGCAAGAGATTTCATATGACCTCATTTGAATTGAATTAAATTTTGTCTCTTCAATAGAATTTAAAATGAAATGTCCAGGCACTTGTCATTTTTGAGGATATTTTTATCAATATGAAGTGTTGAAAGATCTTGTATTCCTAAGGACGTTGGCTTTTAGTGTTTTAAAAACATTTTCTTGATTGCCCTTTATGTCATTTATAGGTAATCACAGGGCCTCAGATCCGCCCCGGAATGACGGTGATCAGGACCCCACTGCAGCAGTCAACACTAGGGAAAGCGATTATCCGGACACCTGTGATGGTCCAGCCAGGTAGTCATGGGTCCAGTGTTACCATCTTACCTCTGCATAGGCAGTAGAAGACATTTGCTTATATTCTGTAGTTGACTCGAATTACTAGGAGATGCCAGTTGGAATTAATACCTCAAATCGTAATAAATTTCTAATCCATGTGATATACATCAGTAGGTATCATTTCATTCTGGGCCTTGCCAGTAAAATAAAAATTGGTTCTAGTAAGCTTATTAAAACTGAAAGAAACCTCTCATAAATGGAATCACAGGTTTAAATAATTGAAGTAAAGAAAATAAGCAAAGAGAACAGTTTGTGTAGCAGCAGATGGAGAGAAAAATCAAGGAAACAGCCAAAAAAATGTAGGAAACCAAATTACAAATGTAATACCATCCATCGAAGTAATGACAATTAGGATAAAATGACCGTAATAAACATTGAATACTGTAAAGACTGAGTTTCAGATAGCAAAACTATTTCTTCACAAGAAACATGGTAAAATCAAATTATTGTAAAAGATAAGAAAGAAAAAAAATCAAATTATTGTAAAAGATAAGAAAGAAAAAAAGATACTAGCTTCCTGCTGATGAGTAGCCTGTGAGGCTGCAACTGGTGGCTCCATCTGCTGGTTCGCTCCCGAAATGTCCACAACAGCCAGGGTTAGGCTACAACTGAAGACAGGAGCCCAGAAGGCAATCCAGGTCTCCCCCTGAGTGACAGTGACCCAAGTATGTGAACTATCATTTGCTGCCTTCCAGGGTGCTCCTTAGCAGGAAGCTAGATCAGAACCAGTGTAGCCAGATCTCGACCCCAGTCTCTGAAACAGCATGATGACATGATAATAATCAGCTTACCTGCTGCACCAGATGCCCTTCCCAAGATGTAATCCTTAGCATTATGAGTTAAGTTAGATGTCATTAAAGTGTATACAGCAAAACTGTTTGAAATCAAGGGAGACATTAACAGAACATAGACTACAACTTTTGTACTTTCCGGAATATAAATTCATTTTAAATATTTGTGCGCTGTTTGGTGGAAAGATGGTCCTTGAGCCACAAATAATACCTTGATAAGTTTCAAAAAGTAGAATCTAAAGAGGCCACATTCTTTGTAGTAAGGCTAGAAATTAATACTAAGATGTTATGCTAAATAACCTTTATTTACCTAGAAAGTGTTTTTCCACCAATTGGTTTATTTATTTGAAAGGCAATTTACGGAGAGAAGGGAACGATAGAGATCTTCCACTGGTTCACTCCCCAAATGGCTGTATCGTCTGGGACTGGGCCAGGCTGAAGCCAGGAGCCAGGAGCTTCTTCCAGGCCTCCTACATGGGTGCAGGGGCCCAAGGACTTGAGCCATCCTCCGTCACTTTCCCAGGTGCATTAGCAGGGAGCTGGATTGGAAGTGCAGCAGCCAGGAGTCCAGCTGGCACCTATATGGGATGCTGGCATCACAGGTGGCAGCTTAACCCATTGCGCCACAGCACTGGCCCCAACAAATAAATCCTTAAAAAATAAATAAACTATGTGCACGAGTACTTAAAAAAATCATGGAATGTGGAATTTAAGAATGTTTATTTTTGTGCTAAAAATTTTTGAAATGCGTAGTTTTTCATGATACCCATTTTCTATGACTTTTTGAAGTACTCTCATAAGATATATTAAATAATGTTATACATAACGATATGGATGTGTTTTGCATATCAGGTTAAATAATAAGCTCCTAACAAGTGGAAGAGAGGAGGGAGGGGGAAGTAGAAGGGTTGGGATCCGGGACTGATTTGCAGGGACAAGTTGAAGTTTTAGAAAGGATGGCCAGAGAGAAGACTCCCTGAGAAGGTGAATGTGATTAAAGACCTGAAGGAGATGGCTGTGAACATGTGTAGGAAAAGGATTTTCATGAAGAAGGAGCAGCAGATGCAAACCCTGTGAGGTGGGAAAGGGGAGAGGGTGGAGGAATCGCAGAGCAGCGGGGCAGGTGATGTGTGTTTATGTCTCCGAGTTTGTTGGGACCACACTGGAACTTCACTTCCTTCCCACCTCTACACTAGCTTTTCTCAAAAACAGGATCCACGGTCTCCAGGGTATAATCAGAAATTACAAAGCTTTTAGATTTTGCATTTTGATGCTAATCTAAAAATAAACTCAACGTGTACATACTAGGAATCATCTGAATGACCATCAGATAATCAGTACCAGCCCTTTTATGTGTGTGTCTGTGTCTCTGATGGCATTGGTAACTCCAGGAGACTGCCTGAAGTGGTGGCAGGGCAAGGACACAGTGTCGGGTCCAGAGCCTCTTGTCCATGTCATCCTGTCTCTTGATTCACTTTGAGTAAATGAACAAGAATAGCCAAGAAGAATTTAGAAGAAGGAATAATAATGGAAGATTTGTCTTGCCTGTTATTAAAGCATATAAAGTTGTCAAAATTAGCAGGATGACACCAATGGAAACTGAAAATAGATGACAGAGAAGCTATTTATCCCCATCTAAAAAAAAATTTAGGGGTTTAAAAATAAAGTTGGGGCAGGCATTTGGCATAGCAGTGAAGACATGACATGGGATGTCCATGTCCCATATTGGAGTGAAACATTGGAGCGACTGGGTTCGCACCTCAGCTGTGCTCCTGATACTAGCTTCCTGCTGATGAGTAGCCTGTGAGGCTGCAACTGGTGGCTCAAGAGTGTGGACCTTTCCCCCGGGGCGGGAGACCCAGGTCCAGGCTCCTTGCTTTTCCCTGCCCAGCCCAGACTGTTACAGGTATTTGAGGAATGAACTAGCAAATGGAAGATCTCGATAAGTCTGTGTCTCTCTGTCTCAGTGCATTTGAAATAAAAATTTAAAAATAAAAAGCAGATGGCAAAGTAGGAAAAATGATTATTTTAAAAATGTATCTTTAAAGTTTAGTTTGTTTAAGAGAGAGAGAGAGAGATGCCATCCTAATTTCACTCCCAAATGAGCACAGTGGCCCGGGCTGGTCCTTCTGCATGCCAGGAGCCTGGAGCTCTGTGCTGGCCTTCCACACGAGTGGCAGGGCCCCAAGCAGTTGGGCCATCATCCACAGAGTTTCCAGGTACATTCATTAGTGGGAAGCTGGACTGGGTGCAGAGCAACTGGAACTTGAACTGGTGCTCTGGTATGGGATGCTGGTATTGCAGGTGGCATCGTAGCTCACTGCACCACGATGCCAGCCTCTAAAAGTATATATTATTGGTTATGTATGGTATAGAGGGTTAAGCCACCACTTAGGACACCTTCATCCCATACTGAAGAGGTGGTTCAAGTCCCTGCTGCTTCACGTCCCATCCACCATCCACCACTCTGCCAATGCACCTGGGAAGCATCAGGTGGTGGTTTGAGTAGTTGTGTCCTTGCCACCTATGCAGGAGACCCAGACAGGGTTCCTGGCTCCTGGCTTCAACCTGGTTCAGCCCGGCTATTGTGTTCATTTGGGGAATGAGCCAGCAAATAGAAGATCTCTTTCTTTGTCTCACTCTCCCTCTCTCTGTGTCACTCTTGCCTTTCAAATGAATGAATGAATGAATGAATAACTTTTAAAAATAAAATTTAAAAATAAATTAGATATCACACAATATATACGTGTATTGGAACATCACATACTACCCATAAACGTTCAAATTTTATGTCTTAAATTTCTTTTTAAAATAAATTTTTAAAAATTTAAGAATCATTTTAAGTAAGTAGAAAAATGGAAAGTCTGGAGAGAGAGCTCACCCATGAAGAACAATGACTTGAAATATTTTTAAATGTTGGCCTTCCATGGTAACTGTGGAAACATGGCGGTTCAGGCACTGCGATCCCGTGATGGGGTTTCTGATTCCCAGGGCAGTGTAGGTTCAGTGAGACAGGTGCTCAGGGGTGGTAGGAGTCTAAACTGGCATCACCTTTCTTAAAGTTCAGTTCAACACTCTGTTCCTACTGTGAACTCCCTAATACTTTTGGGAATTAATTCTAAGGAAATTACCAGAGACACACACAAAGAATGATTTCCCCAGGACATTATATTAAAGAAGAAAATGATAAAATGTTCCCAATGTCACTGTAGGCTATTTTACGCATGTATAATAATATGAAATATCATTCAGCCATTAAAAGAAATTCATACAGAAAAATAAATATGTGTTCACAGAAAGGGAAACTAAGTTAGTAAATATTTCAGAAATTTGATGCTATTTGCTAATCACTTATGAGTCTGTAAATGTCAGACTAGCTACCAAGTGATTCCTCTTAGTGGAAAGGGGGAAACCTCCACGCGCCTTTTCCTTTAGCTTCAACAAGTTAAACAAGCAGCAGAGGCTTTCGGAAATCTATGGAGCCGTTCCAGTCCAACGTCAGTAGACATTTACTGAACAGTGACTGGGAATGGATTTTTTTGAACACTTTGCCCTGACATTAAGGGTGTTGTGGTTTGTACACCCCTGATTCCCCAGAACTATCTGTCACATAGCTGTAAGAGAAGCAGCTGGGCCAGGATAGTCCAAAACCTTCATTTCATTTTAAATTCATGCAAATTAATTATATGTTAAATTATCTTGTTTTGAATATTACATTCCTAAGAAGAAGGTAGCCATTATAAATGATCTATTTTCCATATCCTCTTCTGCTTCCTTATTGTCATTGTGGCTTTAGAGTTACAGGAACAATGCTGGGTTTATTTTGTTTTGTTTTGCTCTGCTGCAGACAGCAGGAGCTAGACAGAAGTTGTTAGTAAGCCGATTGAAAGCAGGCTCAGTGCCACCCAGGCAGTTCCTTTGGGTGTGGGCCTGTGTCTCAGTGCACCCTGGGCCTGCCTTCTGGAAAACCGGACCGAATCTGTTCATCTGAAGTGTGGGCTTAGTGCAGAGGGACTGAGGGCACGGGAGCATTCAGAATGTTCTGTCCGTGCAGGTGCTCCGCAGCAGGTGGTGACGCAGATCATCAGGGGCCAGCCCGTTTCCACCGCAGTCTCTGCCCCCAGCACGGTCTCCTCGACGCCTGGGCCGAAGACCTTAACCTCAGGAGCGTCCACTGCCAGTGTACAGTCTACAGCCTCCCCGGCCCCTCGCCCCCAGCAAGGACAGGTGAAGCTTACCATGGCTCAGCTCACCCAGTTAACACAGGGCCATGTAAGTAATACCACTTGAACTTCAAAGATGATCCCATTTATTCTTTCTTGCTGTGGGTTTAAAAACACATGTTCATTTTGATAAGATGCAAATGTATTTGTTTTAGAAATGGCTGCTTTCGGGGACGGCGCCGTGGCTCACTTGGTTAATCATCCGCCTGTGGCGCCAGCATCCCATATGGGCGCTGGGTTCTGGTCCTGGTTGCTCCTCTTCCAGTCTAGCTCTCTGCTGTGGCTCAGGAGGGCAGTGGAGGATGGCCCAAGTGCTTGGGCCCTGCACTCTCATGGGAGACCAGGAGGAAGCACCTGGCTCCTGGCTTTGGATCGGCACAGCACCGGCCTTGGCAGCCATTTGGGGGGTGAACCAATGGAAGGAAGACCTTTCTCTCAGTCTCTCTCACTGTCTATAACTCTATCTGTCAAATAAATTAAAAAAGAAATGGCTGCTTTCTGGAGCCATATAACACTATTTCTTTAGAAGCAAGCTGTAGTAAAGTCTAACCATCTAGTTCTTTATTTTTAAGATTTATTTATTTATTTGAAAGTCAGAGTTACACAGAGGAGAGGCAGAGAGAGAGAGAGAGAAAGGTCTTCCATCCACTGCTACACTCCCCAGTTGGCCTCAACGGCCAGAGCTGGGCTGATCTGAAGCCAGGAGCTTTTTCTTGGTCTCCCACTTGGCTGCAGGGGCAAAGCACCTGGACCATCTTCCACTGCTTTCCCAGGCCAGAGCAGAGAGCTGGATCAGAAGTGGAGTAGCTGAGACAGGAACCGGTGCCCACATAGGATGCCGGCACTGCAGGCAGCAGCTCAACCCGCTATGCCACAGCACCAGCCCCCATCTAGTGTCTTTAGACAGTGAACTGTGAAAGTGAGACTGATACAACCTTTTTAACCACCAAATTAAGCTACTTCCTTACAGGACTCAGTATGGTTCTCAGGTCTTCCCATATTGATCAGTAGATTGAATGTGGTTCCCATTAAATCCCAAGAGATTTTTTTTTTTAGTGGAATTTCATTAACTGATTTTTAGAATTTATGAGGAAGTGCAAAGATCCAGAATAACTTTTACTTTCCAAGTACAGGAGCATTTGCTTTGTGTGATAACCTGATACCAAACTTGCTGTGGTGCACACTAGTTGATAGAGTAAGCGCAGATGCAGGTCAGACAGGCCAGCCGAGCAGTGAAGTGCAGAGTGTACCTCTGCCTGTGTGGATACTTGTCACATGACCCATGTGACGCTGCTGATCCTGGAGGAAACCACAGATTCCTCAGTAACTGGTGCTGGAACAGCGGGATATGTATGGGAAATATATGGGATATACACGGGAAATATATGGGAAACTGAAACTGCACCACTGCCTTATCCATGTACAGATTTATTTAATTCCAGGAAGATCAAGTCCTAACTGAAAGACAAAACGATAATGCTTTTCAGAAGCAAAAATAGAATGTCCTGGCAGCTTTCTTAAATACCCAGAGACACTATAAAGGAAAAGATTTATAAATTCAGCTACATAGAGTCAAAAATTTAAAGCGCAGATACCTGTCTACAGCCAGTTAGATCAGTAAGCTGTAGTGTATTCGTACAGCAATGACGGCAAGCAAGCCATGGCCACACAGATCTGTGTAAGTGGTTGTCAAGTACAAAATGTTAGAGCAGAAGCAAGTAGCAACAACAGCAACAAAGTGCATACGTTAGGATTCTATTTGTTTAAAACAAAACTAAACTACTTATGTAAAGGTACAGGGCTGAAATCCGGGCTGCCTGGAGGCAGCACCATTCCCTTGTGTTTTTGCTGAATAGCACTCTTACTAAAGTAGTGAACATCAGTGCCCCTATAAAGATACACACCTGTGTGCTAATACTCTCACAGCGACCATCTGCAGTTTGATGTTTACTAAATGATTATTATTTAAGTTATACTTGATATTTTGTTTGTTTCTAATTCCCCATTATGTCCTTAGTGGTCAAGGTTGCTGAATTAATAAGTTCTAGACAGGGGCCGGTGCTGTAGTGTGGTGGGTAAAACCACCTCCTGCAGTGCCGGCATCCCATGTGCACGCCAGTTCGGTGCCTGCTTCTCCTCTTCTGATCCAGCTCCCTGCTTATGGCCTGGGAAAGCAGTAGAAGAGTCCTTGGGCCCCTGCACCCACATGGGAGACCCAGAAGAAGCTCCTGGCTCCGCTTCGGATTGGCTTAGCTCTGGCCATTGTGGCCATTTGGGGAGTGAAGCAGCAGATGGAAGATCTCTCTCTCTGTCTCTGCCTCTCTGTTATTCTGCCTTTCAAATAAATAAATAAATCTTAAAAAAAAAAAAAAAAGTTGTACATAGAAGAGACAGTACGCACACATTTAGTTCCTAATTCCCATTTTGATGACTGCTCAAACTTTGGTAATCCTCCTGACTTGGTGCCTGCATTTCTTATCTAAAACTGTTGGTTTGTTTGTTTATAAGATTTATTTATTTATTTGAAAGTTTCAAAGAGAGGGAGAGACAGAGTGAAAGAAATCTTCCATCTGCTGGTTCACTTCCACAATGACCGGGATTAGGCCAGACCAAAGCCAACAGCCAGTAGCATCATCCAGGTCTCCTGCGTGGATGGCACAGCCCCAGACACTTGGGCCATCTTTCACAGCTGCTCCCAGACCATCAGGAGGGAGCTGGATGAGAAGTGGAGCAGCCAGGACACAAACTGGTGCCCACCTGGGATGCTGGTCTCACAGGTGGTGGCTTCACCCACCACAATACAATGCCAGCCCCCCTAAAACCTTTGCACACACAGACACACACTAAAAATAATAAAACTCTGGAGACCTGGTCTCTTTCACTTTAACTTGCACAAGTGACGTGCCCTTGCTGTCTTGACTTTTTAAACTGGGAATAGATTGCAGTATTATTTGCTCTGCTTCTGCACAAAGTCACAAACCCATTGTGAGAATCAAGTGAGGCAGTCATTTGAAGACGTTTTTACTGTTGTAAATAATGCGTGTGTAAGATGATTTAAAATCAGAATTTTGTGAAACCGTAATCGTTCAGTTCAGTGCCCTCATTTTATGGATTGGGGGACTTGGATCCAGCGGTATGATGTTGCTTGTAGATGGATATCCGGCTGTCCAGTCAAGGACATAAATATCCTTTTTTTTTATTTGCCTAAATTCTTCCTTGTGCCATTCCACAGACATTCAAATATATCCATAGATTTTCATTGTACTGGAGGATCTTCATAACATACAAATGATGTTTTTACTAGTGTTGTTGATGGCTCGAACACTGTCTCCACAGGGTGGCAATCAAGGTTTGACAGTAGTAATTCAAGGACAAGGTCAAACTACGGGACAGCTGCAGCTGATACCTCAAGGGGTGACTGTCCTCCCCGGCCCAGGACAGCAGCTCATGCAAGCTGCCATGCCCAATGGGACCGTCCAGCGATTCCTCTTTACCCCTCTGGCAACGACAGCCACGACGGCCAGTACCACCACCACCACCACTGTTTCCACCACAGCAGCAGGTAGAGCTTTGCCTTCAGCAGCAGCCAAGGGGATAGGAAAAGCAGTGCCTATTTTGGGAGGGTGTGCATGAAGCCAGTGAGTTTGACCGTAGGTGCAGCCTCACACGTCTCGATGCTCTCGTGCCTCCTTACAGACTCCCTTCACCTTGTGAACAAAATACAGAAAAGGGAACAAAAGTAATGACCTCACACTCGTTCCGTGCCAAGCCTTGTAGCTGAGTGATTTCAGGGATGGTGGTTAAGGTGCAGCTCCGAGCCTCCAACAGGGAGCTGCAGATTCTGCGCCACTTGGTTAGCCTGCCCCTGCGCGGTGTGTGATCCGCCCCCACAGCAGAGGAGAAAGTGAGGCTGCCGGTAGCTTGGCCCGGAAGACCTGGCTGACTTCCAGAGACTGGGCCTTGCTTCAGAAGCCGGGCCTCTGGAGAGAGAGCAGAGTGTACGCAGGGCAGCCGAGAAACTTGGCCTCCACGTCCCGGTTCAGGGGAGTCCTGTCTGAGCACGTGTGAGAGGTAGTGTGTTTCAGAGGCATCTGTATTCACGCCTGAAATACTAAATCCTCAGTGTTCTTCCCCTTCCAGTTCTTTGTGCACAGTCTTAGGTTCGAGAGTAATAGATGTGGTTTGTCTTTGTTTTCACAGGTACAGGTGAACAAAAACAGAGTAAATTATCACCCCAGACCCAGGTGCAGCAAGCCCAAACCCTGCCACCATCTCAGTCACCAAGTGTGAGTCCTGCAGGAGCCCAGCCACAGACTGCTCCGCCTCCAGCTCAGCCCCCGCCCCCGCCCCCGCCCCAGTCCCCCGCTCAGCCTGAGGTTCAGGCTCAGCCTGAAGTTCAGACCCAAACAACTGTTGCGTCCCAGGTCCCTTCTGAAGCACAGCCCACCCAAGCACAGTCATCCCAACCCCAAGGGACAGCACAGTGTCCGCCTCCGAGTACTGTCCAAGGACAGTCTCCTGTTCGTGTCCAGAGTCCACCACAGACTCGAGTACGTCCATCAACTCCATCCCAGGTGTCTCCTGGACAGCAGCCCCAGGTTCAGACTCCAACCTCACAACCGATTCCAATTCAACCACATACATCTCTTCAGATACCTTCCCAAGGCCAGCCACAGTCACAGCCCCAGGTACAGTCTTCAACTCCAACTCTTTCATCAGCACAAGCGTTAAATCAAGTTACTGTCTCATCCCCATCCCGCCCTCAGCTGCAGATACCGCAGCCACAGCCCCAAGTCCTTGCTGTGCCGCCTCCGCAGCAGCAGGTGCAGGTGGTGGCTCAGATACAGGCTCAGCAAGGTGGTGTGCCCCAGCAGATCAAACTCCAGTTACCTGTTCAAGTTCAGCCGAGCACCGCTGTGCAGGCTCACCACATTCAGAATGTGGTGACAGTGCAGGCAGCCAGTGTGCAAGAGCAGTTGCAAAGGGTTCAGCAACTCAGGGATCAGCAGCAAAAGAAGAAACAGCAACAGATAGAAATTAAGCGGGAACACACCCTCCAAGCTTCTAACCAAAGTGAAATCATTCAGAAACAGGTAAAGTTATTAAGTAAAAGCAGCATGTTCAGTAGCTTGAATTATTGTGCTGTGCATTAGACGTAGTGTTTGGTTGTGTGAGGTTTCCTAAATGAGAAAAAGTCATTGGCGTTTCAATTCAGAGAAGACACTAGATGGACCAAGTACTGAATGGCTAATACGGTTTGGAACTCTTTGTTGGGAAAAAAAAATGTGTGTGTGTGTGTGTGTGTATGTATGTGTGTGTGTGTATATATATGTATATACACATACATATACACAAATATATAGAGAGTCAGTATTTATTTGAAACTGCTTGTGTTCTGGGAGAACTAAAAAAATGGAATTGTGAATTTCAGTATTATTAATGTAAAACTTGAAACTTGAAGGTCTGTCAAAATCTTAAAGCCGTTTCAGACACATAGCAATTTTTTGGATGTTATTTGCAGTTGACATTCCTTACTTTGCATGGAGACTAAGCAGATTACAAACAGATTCAACTTATTTGCATTTCTAGCTACACCTTTGTTTAAAAGTTTTAAAGACTGTGTTATTCTATAGCTTACATAGAAGGTAGTGACATGAAGTGACGTCTCGCAGCGGCCTTGAGTGAAGTAAGACAGTGTAGAGGAGTTAGAGTTACTGCGTGACATTGAAGTCACGTGTGTGACATCCTGTAGTGTTACCTGAGGGAGCCTCTCTCATCGGCAGCGCCTCGGCTCAGCACTGCACAGGAGTTTGTGGATTTCAGGCCTTCTAGTGGTGAGGTGCATTCCGTTCCTGGATCTCCGGGTCACAGTCCATGAAACTCACTCACCTCCCCTGAGCTCTGCCCTCATTAAGCTCCTCCTCTCTTTCCCATCACAAAAGATGACTGTAGTGATTAAGTGAGGCCTTGTTCATAGACACTCTTAAATAGCAAAATGATTTTTGAAATGTAGTATTCCTGTAAATTGACATTATTTGTAATGTGTTCAAATGCATTCTACCCAGCTCTCAGTATTGCGTAATCTGTAAGGTGAGAATTACTTTCCATCCGTCCCCTGTGCTTTGTGTAAGGGAGTATGGCAAGGGATCAACTTGTTAGAAGTAATGCCTGGGAAGAGAAGACATAGTTGAGAACATAGCCTTTGGAAAATGATAGCTGAGCTAAAATTCCAGCTGTGTGACTGACTTAGTCTCAGACAAGTTGGTTAATTTCTTTGTCTCAGTAGAAAATTAGCACTGTGGTTCAGTGTTGAGGAATAAATGAGGTGATGTCAAGTACTTAGCCTAGCACGGTACCCAGGACATGGTAAGCATCCAGACCATGGTAGCTGCTAATTTTATCTGTATTGGGATCTAAGATTCTTACAGCTTTCTTTTTTTTAAATACACGTGTCCTCAGATTTCTGCTGTTGTTGTCTGTGTACTGACTTTTGGTCACTATAAAATATGCGCTTCTGGATTTGTTCTGTCCTGAAGGTGGTGATGAAGCATAATGCTGTCATAGAACATTTAAAACAGAAAAAGACCATGACTCCAGCTGAAAGAGAAGAGAATCAAAGGTAGGGAGAAACCAGGGTCTCGCTGCAGATAGGTCTCGTCTCTTTAGCCTGCACATGGCAGAGAGTTCTGAGCTTGTATTGGTTTTTCTTTGTCTGATTGAAGGCATTATCTGAGAACTGTTGGCACTAACAGCTACTCGTAACTGCCTTGAATGCATCCCTCTGAAGCTGTCCAGTCCCGGGGCGTTGTGTATCATCCTTAGACACCTAGAAGAGTCGTGACTTAAGCCTTTCAGCGTGAAACCCCTAGCTTCTCATGGGTTGTGTATTTTTCTCTAGAATGATTGTGTGTAACCAGGTGATGAAGTACATTTTGGATAAGATAGATAAAGAAGAAAAACAGGCAGCAAAAAAGCGGAAGCGCGAGGAGAGCGTGGAACAGAAACGTAGCAAACAGAACGCCACCAAGCTCTCAGCTCTGCTCTTCAAACACAAAGAGCAGCTCAAAGCCGAGATTCTGAAAAAGAGAGCGCTCCTGGACAAGGATCTCCAGATCGAAGTGCAGGTAGGGCCGTGCCGCGGCTGGCATTTGCTATCTGCTGTCTTCTGTTCCCTTGAATTTTTGGATAAGCTAAAGATTTCAGCTTGCTTTCTAGAAATTACATTTGCAGGGCCAGCACTGTGGCATAGCGGGTAAAGCCGCCACCTGCAGTGTTGGCATCCCATATGAGCACCAGTTCAATTCCTGGCTGCTGCACTTCCGATCCAGCTCTCTGCTGTGGCCTGGAAAAAGCAGTAGAGGATGGGCCAAGTCCTTGGGCCCCTGCACCCATGTGGGAGACCTGGAGGAAGCTCCTGGCTCCTGGCTTCGGATCGGCGCAGCTCCAGCTGTTGCAGCCAATTGGGGAGTGAACCAGCGGATGCAAGACCTTTCTCTCTCTCTGGCCCTATCTTTCTATATATAACTCAGACTTTCAAATAAATAAATCGTAAAAAAAAAAAAAAAGTAAGAAAAAGAAATGAAATCTGTGTATATAAAATACATAGAGGCGTGAGACACACACGTGCTTTTTTTTACCTAAATGTCTATTTAGACTGTGTTCTTAGGATATAGCTTTTATTGTTTATGACATAGTTTTGCCAAGAGGAGGGACTTGGTAGAATAAGAGAGACTATAAAACAATGTTAAAAGAATGAAAAATAAGTCTGCCCACTAAATAAGACAAATTTCTTTCTTGATTGATTTTCCAAGTTTTGCTGTTCTTCTGCTTTCTTGGGGAGTTTATTGAGAAGTGATAGAAAACATCTATTTAGATGAATTTAAACAGGCTTTGTTTCCTTTCATTGTTTTTTTTCTCTCTCCTTTGTGCTCATATGACACAGGAACTGTCTTACACACTAGCGTTCTAGAAGGCAAGTGGGCTACAAATGTCTTGTACATTTTAAGAGGATGAGAAATATTAAGAAAATACTGTTCAGACCCATAGTCAACATTCCATAACTGAAACATTCCAGATCTTCCCACTAAAGTCAGGAACCAGATGACGGTGCCAACAGTCAGCATTATTACTACTAAGTATCCCTGGAAGTTGTAGCCAATACGTTAGGAAAAGAAAAAGTTTGAGGGAAGAAAACTGTTGTCATGTATGATATGGTTATTGCATCAGAACCCCAAGACAAAATAGACTAAAAGGTATGAGAAATTCAGTAAGATAGTCAGTTACAGGATAAACATCGAAACCACAACCATCATAATGTACAATATGTGTTTTACAAAAACCAGCGTAATGAACAAAGACAATTCACAGTAGCCACAGAAAATGCAAATTAAGATACTTTTCAGACCAGAAATTTAAATGTAAGAAATTTTCATAGTCTTAGAGTGGGAGAAAATCACTCTAGGTATTACAAAATCCAAGGCTCACAAAAGGAAAATATTTGGCATGTAATACCCTGTGTTTCTAGAGAACCTTTTTTCAGTATATTTCTAAAAATATAAAATGTTAGCAGCGTTTGAGCCCTAGAAATTCACTTCTAGAAATCCATCTAAGCAGTGAGGCAAGATGGCAGCTGAGGGCGTTCACCAGTGTGCTCCTGGGGCAGACGTTTGGAGCCAGCCTCATGTGCACGCAGAGGAGATGAGTGTCTCTCAGAAGAACTCTCTGGCCCTGGGTACCGAACGCTCCTAGTGTGCTCCTCATTCTCACATCACAGCAGCGTCCTTGGCCCCTCCCTACATATTCCCAAACACGCGTGGCTCATGAAGCCAGGCCGTTCCGGTGAACCTGTCAGGAGGTGTGTTGTGATGTGTGTTAGCAGAGCATGGGCAGCCATGCCCCACGGGGGCACGGACTGGGAGCGGGGCTACACAGAGGGCAAGGGGCATGCAGACTTGTTTTTCAAATACACCTTAGATGGGCCTTTTCTTTAGCCAAATCTTTGAAATTGCTTGGTTTTTCCTTTTTTCCTCTCCCTCTTCCTAAACATTTACACAAAGTATCTGCTTTAGAATAGAAAGCAGCTGCAGGCCGAGGATCCACTGACGTGATCGTGTATGGCGGCGAACACCATTTCTGCTGTGAGAGTTTCAGAGAGACTGCCAGGATAAGGTGTGCACAGCAGGCGGCTGCTTGGAAAGAGTCAGTGGTTGGTTTTCTACTCGCACTGCTCCGCGATGTGAACAGGAGACTCAGGGGTCTCCCTCAGTACCTAGAACGCCTTCAGGTCTTTAACCTTTTTAAAAGGATGAGTCTGATTTTGAATATTGCTCTGAGGACATTTGGATAATTTTTTTCCCTCTTTTTTTCCTTTAAGCAGGAAAAGAAATCAAACCAGGCCTCTGTATAAAAGCATTTAAGGGAAATCGAGGCTATCCAGAGCACTGTGCTGAAAGACTATAGGCTTAGGGAGAAGAGCATTACTATGAAGAAAACGCCTCTGGAAGTTTTCTTGGTATTGCAGATTATTGCCAAAGTTTGTAAATGCCTCAGATCTCAAGAAATGTTCTTGATTATAGTTACGATTTCTTTTTTTTTTTTTTTTTTTTTTTTAAACAGTTAATTTATCTTTTTTGATTTTTTTTTTTTTTTTTTTTATAGACAGGCAGAGTGGACAGTGAGAGAGAGAGACAGAGAGAGAAAGGTCTTCCTTTTTGCCGTTGGTTCACCCTCCAATGGCCGCCGCTGCAGCCGGCGCACCGCGCTGATCCTGGCAGGAGCCAGGAGCCAGGTGCTTTTCCTGGTCTCCCATGGGGTGCAGGGCCCAAGCACCTGGGCCATCCTCCACTGCACTCCCTGGCCATAGCAGAGAGCTGGCCTGGAAGAGGGGCAACCGGGACAGAATCCGGCGCCCCAACCGGGACTAGAACCCGGTGTGCCGGCGCCGCAAGGTGGAGGATTAGCCTATTGAGCCACGGCGCCGGCTTTATAGTTACGATTTCTTTACCCAGGTTTGTTCTTGGGTGCCAGTCGAAGTAGTTTTTCCCTAGGGCAGTGCAATTTGCTGTAGTCATTTGCACAGATAAGCTGCAGTCCTGGAAGTTAGGAGAAGTGTATCTAAAAAGTATTTCACACACACAAATAATGATTTTAATTTATGGGAAAAGCTACATTGAGGAAAAAAGTGTGTTCTGTTGCCTACCTTGTCTTACAGTCTTAACTTCTGGCCCTAGGAGCATAATAAACAAGACAGATCTGTCACTCACGTGTTTTGTGCAGGCCAGGCCACATGTTGAGTCCCATGTTCAGTCTCACTGTAGGGACACAGAGCAGGGCGACTGAGGTCACCTGAGCAACCACTGAAATAACCGGGAGGGGGCGAGCGGGCGGGGAGGCGGGGCCAGGGCTTTCTTTCTGGACACTTGCTCGTCTTTCTGTCAGGCCTCCTTGGAAGGTATCTGGCAGCTATCTAGTTGGTGTTAGAAGATCACTTTCTAAGTATTTTAATTGAGTTAATTTATAGTGTGAAAATACTCTCGTGCTATATTAAAAATACGAGTGTACTTAAAAAGTTTGTGGGAAATGGAATTAAAAGATTTAAGTGTTGGTGCAAAAACAGTAGAGGTCCATTGTGTAGTTTTTTATTCTATGCATTTCCGTGAACTTTTTGAGACTGATTCACTTATTTGAAGAGCAGGGTTACAGAGAGAGAGAGAGAGAGAAATCTTGATCTTCCATCTGCTGGTTCACTCCCCAAGTCACTGCAACAGCTATGGTTGGGCCAGGCTGAAGCCAGGAACCTGGAACTCCATCTGGGTCACCCGCAAGGGTGGCAGGGGCCCAGGCATTTGGACTGTCCTCAGCTGCTTTCCTTTGCAAATAAGCAGGGAGCTGGATCAGAAGTGGAACAGCCTGGGCCTTGATCCAGCGCCTATAATAGGATGCCAGGTGTTGTGGTTGTGCCCACTGCACCACAACTCCAGCCTCCCATGAACTTTTTGAAGTTCACTAGGCTGAACTGTGGAGCTCTGTGCACAAGGGAGAGTAATGGATCGTTCTCTGTCCAGATCCCACACTCCCCTCCCCCAACGATGGTCTTGTATTGTTGACAGGAAGAGCTGAAGAGAGACCTGAAAATTAAGAAAGAGAAGGACGTGATGCAGGCAGTGCAGGCCACTGCGGTAGCTGCACCCCCAGCCCCAGTGGCAGCAGCTCCACCAGCCCCTCCGCCTTCGCCTCCCCCTGCACCCAGCCTGCAGCACCCAGGCCTCCTGTCCACGCCTACCTTACCTGCAGCTTCCCAGAAGAGGAAGCGGGAAGAGGAGAAAGACTCAGGCTCAAAGTCCAAGAAGAAGAAAATGATCTCTACTACCTCAAAGGAAACTAAGAAGGACACAAAGCTTTACTGTATCTGTAAAACGCCTTACGATGAGTCTAAGTGAGTAGATCTCTTTGAGCTCTAGTTTATTATATTGAAAGTTTAGCTGTTGAATGCACAGTTTTGAAGGAAATAAGCATATTGGTAGCAATATAAATGAAAGTTATTCAGTTTAAGGGTAACGATGTTTCCTCAGCGGTCTTGCCGCTGATACTCTTAACTTGACACCAGTAGAGTCAAATGTGATCCCTGTTTGTCCTTTGTTATATTCTTTCCTGTCAAAAACAAGCTTTCTGTCGCTCCTTTGCTTTTTCCTCTCTGTCTGCAGGAACTGTAACCCAGCAAGGGATGCCGGGTGCAGGTGCTCGGAATCAGAGCATCCTTTCTGGATTCTGTCCAGGGCCCTGTGGTTACGGCAGACCCGACTCCCTCCGAACCCGAGTGGGGCGAGATGGCTCAAACTTGAGTGATCCAGCTTTTTTGAGTGTTTTGTTTTGAGCAGTTCTGTTTTTTGTATTGGAATACTACACCTTAGTGTTTTTGTTAGTTTCCTCTTTCTTCCTGGGGACAAAGCCAGAAAAATAGAAAAAAAATGTTCCTTACACTCATTGCTCAAGAACGAGACTCAAAAATTTGATAAACATGGGAGCAGGAAGCTGTTTTTGACAGTGTGATTTGTATTTTGATGATATAAGCAAAATTTTAGAGACACTTAACCCGTAAATGTAGTATTTTTGTTTAGCTTTGTTTCAGTCATCACTGCATTCAACTAAGTATTTACCTTGTATTTTGAACATTAAAATGTAGACCCGCTTTTTAAAGCAATACCAGGAAGTTTGATTGTGCTTTAAAAACATGATCATTTAGATTTAGAAATGCTTAATGTCTACCTCAAGTGGATGCCTGATCAATCCATGAGATAAAATTGGGGCCTCTCTACTGTTGCGATGTTTCACCTCTGGTGGCACTGTCTAAATTACGACCTGTTTGCACATGTTTGGTGGATTCCACTGTGTGCTGAATTAAACACATCAGTTTAGGCATCCTCACTTGTCTGACCTCATTAGAAATTATACGTAATGTAAAAAGTGGAATCCTGTTAACTGATTTTTCCCTCAGTCTAATATGTGTACCTCACTTTAAGCAAAATACACTAAATGGTTTCTAAAAGAAAACAGAGTGAGTTTTTTCTTTACCAAAAAAGCTGCCTTTAGAACTCATTTATATAATAAAGTTTTGTCAAGCCTGTTTGAAGTACTTGGATCACAGAAATTCATTTTGTACATCAGTCTTTTAAAAAACTCAAGTTGCATAAAATGAGGTGCACGTGTACATGTGCTCATTTTGAGATTGCCTCATTATCTTGTGGATATTTCATATTTTTCAGTTTATCATTTTTTAACATTTCAGTGTACCAGCTTCATTCACTCCCAGTTCTAGTTGGAATAAATATTTTTTAGGAGTATCTTGTAATGTCTCCTACCAAAGTAGGCTCATTGGAAATCCAGTGAGAGTGACTAAAAATTGAAATTCAAGCTCTGAACTTACCTCCACAACACACAGCGCACCACCCTGCAGAGACCTTGAAAGAGCCCCGCTCCCGAGAACCACAGGGGCAAGCATGCAGTCACTCCGTAGCAACGGGATAAACCAGGGAGCCGTGTGTTCCTTCACACGCACGAAGCAGCTCCGTGGGAAGCCTGAGGGCCCCTCCGTCCCTCTGAGGGAATCCTCTGGGACGCCTTGGCAGGGCTGAGTGCCTGTGCAGTGGGCAAGGCCGGCCTGGCTCCCTGGATCTATACTCAGTCCTGCCCAGCTCCTGTCGGGGCCTTTAGATAGAGCTGGCCGTGTCATTTTCTCATGCAGGAGCCTTCAGCGATAGTCACCCGTGGTGATGCGCTGGGAACAGCCCCACTTGGCCAAGCACCACAAAGCGTCTCGCGGTGCTGGCCTGCTGTCCTTACGTGGTCCCCCCACCAGTGTGTCCCTGGTGCGCTCCTGCAGCGCCCTGACCGTGCACTGGCGAGGCCCCTCTGCACACCACATGATAGGGGAGCTTTAAGTAGATTCATTTCCAACATGCAGTCAGAGAGCTTGATAGCAATGGGTTACTACATGTACCTTTCTTAGTTTTCTCCTTCATACCATTTTTGACCATTTATCTTCTACACCTGGCTGACCTGCATGTTCCTTGTAGTGTAACTTTACTTGGTGTTTGCGCTTGCTTTGTTTTCCAATTTAAATTGTGAGATACATTTTCAAACCTATCTAAGAAATGGCCCTAATATCGAAAGGCTTCTGTGGACTAGGTTTGACAGATGTGAGTCTTGATTCCTGGGCTTTGGTTTTTGTGCCTGTTCCAGTTTGACACACATTCATTAAAAGGAAGGCATCACCATCAGTGTGTTGTTCATTTTTTCAAATCCCAGCTTGTTTTTAAAGACCCATATTTCACTACACAGTGTATTTGTTGAAATTGATGTGAGTGACTGTATGTTCCCGCCCCTGCTCCAGTGTCAGATGCTGTCTTTTGCCAGGGATAGAATGGCTGGATTGAGGATGTCTAGCTGACTCATTGTAGAAAGTTACTCTGTGAGAAAGTGAAACAGGACAGGGAAGACAGGTTTAAGTTCCATGCAGCTCAAAATGACAATTACATTGTCATTTTCATTGTGAATACTTTTAGGTTCTATATTGGCTGTGATCTTTGTACTAACTGGTATCATGGAGAATGTGTTGGCATCACAGAAAAGGAGGCTAAGAAAATGGATGTGTACATCTGTAATGATTGTAAACGGGCACAAGAGGGCAGCAGTGAGGAATTGTACTGTATCTGCAGAACACCTTATGATGAGTCACAGTGAGTTCTGATAAGAGCATCATATTTAATTATTCAGGAAGCCAAATTGCTCTGACTGGTTACTGATTTATTTTAAAATAAAAAGCAAGATTTTTTTTTCTGCATATATTATACACTTACATTACAAATTCCTTTCCAATTTTTTTTTTCTCTTTTTCCCTCTTTACCTCCCCTTCAAAATTTATGTTGCTTCATGGTGAATGTTTGAGACATATTGGGGAAAATGTGGCTTAATGGTAGATTTGATTCTTCAACATGTAATATAGAAATGAATGGGATTAAAATAGCCAGACTTGTTTGGACTTTATCAGTATTTGAAATGGTGCTTTATTGTAGGTTAGGAAAAAACACTAATTTGGATGCAAACTCCGAGACTCTGTTATTAGCTTACAGGATTTTGAACTCCCATTTGATATGGTCCTAGTTGAAAGAGATTGGGCTTTATTTGTTTTCAGCTTTAAAATCAATTAAGTATTTTGCATTTTTACTCAAATGGGTTCTCCAGTATTACAGTGTTCTTAGTAAACTTTAACTTCCTGTTGTTAACATCAGAAAGACTAAATTAACACATTGGAATGTCAATCTCAAGAATTTTAAAATTAGTACTAAAACTGTTTTTGTCCCGGGGTCTAGCCAGTTCTCAGGTGCATGTTTGAACATTGTTTAAATAAAAAATTGTAGGTAATGTTGTCCCATCTGTTCTGGACTCACATTTCCATTTCGGATCTTACAGATTTTATATTGGCTGTGATCGGTGTCAGAACTGGTACCATGGGCGCTGCGTGGGCATCTTGCAGAGTGAGGCAGAGCTCATTGATGAGTATGTCTGTCCACAGTGCCAGTCGACAGAGGATGCCATGACAGTGCTCACGCCACTCACCGAGAAGGACTATGAGGGCTTGAAAAGGGTGCTGCGCTCCTTACAGGTGAGAACCACCCCGGCAAGCCAGGGAGGCCTGGCTGGGCTTTGAGGCTGGTATGCGATCATCCCCTGACTCCTGGAGTGGAGGGAAGTGCTTGGCTCATGGCAGTCCTTTGCGTGCTAGTGTCATAGGGGTCACTGCACCCATGTACCACTGCCACTGCTGTCCCGGGCCACAGCAGAGAGCTGGATTGGAAGAGGAGCCGCCGGGACTAGAACCGGCGCCCATATTGAATGCTCCACCTGTGTTGCTGGAATCCCGTATTGGATCTGGTTCATGTCCCCGCTGCTCATTTTCTGATCCAACTCTCTGCTGTGGCCTGGGAAAGCAGTGGAGGATGGCCAAGTCCTTGGGCCCCTGCACCCACGTGGGAGACCAGGAAGAAGCTCTTGGCTCCTGGCTTTGCATCAGCCCAGCTCTGGCTGTTGCAACCATTTGGGGAGTGAACCTGGGCATGGAGGACTTTTCTGTCTGTCTCTCCCTCTCTCTGTCTGTAACCCTGCCTCTCAAATGAATAGAATTTTAAAAAATATATTAAAAAATGAAATATAGGGATAGTTTACAAGATAAGCTAACAATAGAGATGTATTTAAAACAGGAATAAATTGAAGCTTTTTCTTATTGTGATCATAATCCCAAGAATTTGGAAGTACCAACAAGAAAAGCAGTGTCTCAGTGTGTGGCTGCGTCTCTGTTCTTCACATCATACCTCTGCCACCTCGTTAACCACCAGTGGCAAGCACACACGAACTTCACACAAGTGAGCACAGTGCCAGCTTCACTCACTGCATCACATGGGGACCAGAAGATAGGTTTCGTGTGCCAGATTTTGTATGGTAGCGCCCCAGCCCTTACAGCCAGGTCCTCAGATGACAAGCCTTTGATATATATATATATATATATATATATATTATATATATATATATATATATATATATTTTTTTTTTTTTTTTTTTTTTTGGACAGGGCAGAGTACACAGTGAGAGAGAGACAGAGAAGAAAGGTCTTCCCTTTGCCGTTGTTTCACCCCTCCAATGGCCGCCGCAGCTGGCACGCTGCGGCCGGCGCACCACACTGATCCAATGGCAGGAGCCAGGTACTTCTCCTGGTCTCCCATGGGGTGCAAGGCCCAAGCACTTGGGCCATCCTCCACTGCCTTCCCGGGCCACAGCAGAGAGCTGGCCTGGAAGAGGGGCAACCGGGACAGAATCCGGCGCCCCGACCGGGACTAGAACCCGGTGTGCCGGTGCCGGCCAATATATATATATTTTTTTAATCTGTTTTTCACAGACTTTTTTTTAAAAGATGTATTTATTTGACAGGCAGAAAGAGAGGGAGAAAGACAAAAAGAGAACAAGAGATCTTCCATCCATTGGTCCACACCCCAAATGGCCACAGCGGCCAAGGCTGGGCAAGACCAAAGCCAAGACCCGAGAACTCCATGCAGGTCTCCCATCTGGGTGACAAGAGCTGTGTGTTCAGGCCATCTTAATAATGCTGGTCCTGAGAGCTGTTACAATAGAACAGGTTTGTCTTGGGTAAAAATCATCCACTGTAAGTCATTTTATCTGTCAAATGTGAAACTGACCCTTGGAGTTTAATGGCTGGTTGAGGCAGTGACTCAGCTGGGAAGCTTGTTATAATTAATGACAACCAGTGGTGTTCGTTTTTTATCATAGGCCCATAAGATGGCCTGGCCTTTCCTGGAACCAGTGGACCCTAATGATGCACCTGATTATTACGGTGTCATTAAGGAACCTATGGGTAAGTATTTGAGTTGAATATGAAGTACTTTTCATTAAGTATCAGCAGATTATTTCTCACGTGTAAAATCAATATCATCAGGATGTCTTGAACTAGGCTGGTGAGGCGGTAAACTGTGTGGTCATTTCAGAGAGGAAATTGTATCTATTATAATGCTTAATTGTACATACCCTGGAACCCAGCAAATGTCTCAGCATTTATGTGTGCTCAAGTGTGTTGTTCATTGTAGCAGTGCTTGAAATGATGAAAATGGTGGAAAAGAGGTAAACAGCCATCAGTCAGTGGAGCTAAATCAAGGGGTATGTGGGTGGGATAGGATGCAACTGCATGGAGGAATGAATGAGGTCAGTGGGCCGACCGCCTGGCTGCCGGCCTTTTCGTCCTCTGCACCTCCTCCTCTCCTGAGGGAGAAGAACCTGGACGTACCCACGTGGAGAATATAACCTGAGTGATTATATTAAAAAATTTATCTGCATAAGAAATGATGAAAAATGGGGCCAGCGCTGTGGCCCTCACAGCAGGTAAAGCTTCCACCTACAGTGCCGATGTCCCACATGGGCGCCGGTTTGAGTCCCATATCCTCCACTTCTGATCCAGCTCCCTACCGATGCGCCTGGGAAAGCTGTGGAAGATGGACCAAGTGCTTGGTCTCGTATACCCACATGGGAGACCCAGAGGAAGCTCCTGGCTTCAGCTCAGCACAGCTCTGGCCATTGCGGCCATCTGGGGAATAAACCAGATAACCTCTCTGTAACTCTGACTTTCAAATAAGTAGATAAATCTTTAAAAAAAAAGAAAAAAAAAAAAACTTCTGAAGCCTTCTAAAGGGCCGCTGCAGCTGATAAAGGAATTATGGTCCAAACGCTAGCTAAGTAGTTTTTATTTATTACTAAAAAATTGTTTTCCTTCTTCATGTGTACAGACAAATACCCTTGGGTCCCCCAAAGCAGGGACAGAACCAGGCTGAAGCCAGGAGCCAGGAACTCCATCCTGGTCTCCCACATGGGTGGCAGGGCCAAGTGCTTGGGCAGTTCTCCCCTGCTGTCTGAGGCGTGTTAGCAGGGAGCTGGACAGGAAGTGGAGCAGCAGGGACTTGCACCACTGTGCCTTTGTGGGCTGCCGATGTCACAGGCAGTGGCTTAGCCCGTGCACTGACCCCTAGAGCTTTTTTTTTCCCCCCTTTGGTCTCATGACCAAGGTAAACATGACTTACCTACTTCTTAAACAGTCTTAGATTTTAAGCACCAAATAGTTGCATATTTCCTAAGAATGCATGAAAGTGTTTGGACATACACGGCTAATGTGTGGCATGGTGAGACTGGCATGAAAACCATGGTTTCCTGTGAGAGTGTGCAAGAGCCAGCAAGGTGAGCAGCGTTTGTTTTCTTCGGCAGAAGTGGGTTTCTATGACTCGCTGTGTTCTGTGGCGTGCTTTGTGTGCACAGCACTTCTTTTCACATCAGCTGTATTAGAGACTTGTGTCATTTTTAATTGTATAAAATTCAAGTACTCTATTAAAGCACTCCCCATTGGTGGCTTTTTCATGTTTGCACAGTCTTTGGGCAGACAGCACAGCAGTGAGCTCTTTATCTGTGTTCATACACCTGCCTCCACCTGTTTGTTTTCTTAGGAAATTTGGCTAGAATTCAGATCTCTGGAGCAAAGAGTATGTATACTTTTTAGGCTTTTTTTTTTGTTTTTTAAATATTTTCAAATTATACTGCGATCAATGGGACCAGTTTCCTCCCATAGTGTGTATCTATAGCCCGCTAAAACACAGTGTGTTATCACTCTTTTAAATGGAATATGTTCTTTGAACATATTTATTTTAAAAGTAATGTGTTTGGTTTCCAGTCACAGATGTTGCAGAGGTGTGGAATAAAACGTCAGTTTTACCACTGCTCTCGTACTGTCCCCAGAGGTCACCACTGCTAAGTGGCCAATGTCAGAGGTCTGGTCAATAACAAGTTAGAATTTTTTCTATACAAGTTTCCTGTTTGGAGGTTTTTCCCATTTTTCTCCTGGGATAGTCATCTGTTGTCAGTGTTATTTAAGGGCCATTTATATACTGCAGATGATGTAAAGTTTTATAGTGATTGTTTTGGTATATGGTAGTTTGTAAATTGGTTGGATTCATATCTGTTCTTTATGAATTCAGCCTGTATGTTCGTCTGTTATTAGGGACACCTAGTTAAGTTGGAACCATAAAACATCTAAGCACTACTCATATGCTTTATTTAAACTAATGGAGGAGAATTCGCCAGAACTTAAGGATGAAATAATAGTGTTCTGGTATGGTGCACAGAGTTCTCTTTCCTTTATCACTTCAGGGGTGAGGAAGCCTGCCTGCCATGGGCCAGCGTGGTATTCATGATGTCATTTGTAGGCCATACAGAAGGATCAGCCTTCAGATCAGCCTGCTATGGATTTATTGAATTTCAAGTGCCACCTGTGGCAGCCCTGACAAAACCAGACCTGATGGTGGTGTGGGCGGCCCGCAGCCCCTCCTGACTTGTGTAGGAGAGGTGTGTCCATGCTTTGCTTGGATAGAATCCACCTGGGTGCGTTTTTGCAGTTCCCATTTACACATTTTATCCTGTGTCTGGGTAAACTGGAGATACCAAAGACAAATTTGTGTGTATATATGCACATCCTAAAATTTAAAAGATAAAATTTGCTATTATCTGAAGTTTTTATGTTGAATACAGTTAGGTCTATATCTAACAAATTACATTCTCTCACATTAGTTTTATTTTTTTATTTTTTTTTTCCGTTTGTTTGTTTTAATTTGAAAGGCAGAGTTAGAATCTTCCCACCCACCAGTTCACCCCTCCAATGGCCACTACAGTCATGGCTGGGCCAGACTGAAGCCAGGAGCCCTGAACTCCATCCTAGTCTCTCATAGGGTGGCAGGGGCCTGGGTACTTGGGCCATCTTCAACTGCTTTGCCAGTGCTTTAGCACGGGAGCTAGGTTGGAGGTGGAGCAGCTGGGACTCAAACTGACACTTTGGGTGCTAATATGGAATGCAGGCAGTAGCCTACAGCGTCACAGCTCTGGTCCCTCAAGCCACATCTATTTTTTCCTCTTTTTTTTTTTTTAGATTTATTTATTTATTTTCAAGTTAGAGTTACAGAGAAGGAGAGGCAGAGAGAGACAGAGGTGTTCCTCTGTCAATCTTTAAAAAACAATCTTTAAAAATTAAAAAAAAAAAAAGACACAGTTTAGAACACGCAAATCCCAAATCACAGTGCCTGGGTTCAAGTCTGGCTCCATTCTCCATTCCAGCTTCCTGATAATGCACACCCTGGGAAGCAGAAGATGGCTCACATGGGAGGCCTGGTTAAGGTCCCTGGCTCATGGCTTCACTCCAGCCCCAGCCCTGTCTATTGCTGGCATTTGGGTAGTGATCCAGCAGCTAGGAGGGGTGTGTGTGTGTGTGTATCTGCCTGCCTGCCTGCCTGCCTGCCTGCCTTTTAAATAACTTTTTTCTTGGGAGAGTATTACAAAGGATACCAGTGAACGCCAGATAAAGAGGTGGATAGGACCAAGGTATGGGGAAAGAGACACAGAGTTTCCATGCCTTCCACGAGCCTCTGTGTGTTCAACTGTCTGGAGACTCCAGGAACCCAGCCCTTTTGGTTCTTGTGGAAGTGCGCTGCATAGGCATGATTGATTAGATCGTTGTCCGCTGGTGATCAGCTTAACTTCCGTGTCCTCTGCCTTCCCTGAAGCTTGCAAAGTCGCTTTGAAAGTCCAGCCCTCTGATGGTGCTTCCTTTGGGGTGATCCACACCACACTGACGCTCCCTAGGGAACCCAGCCACCTTTCTAACTGCGGAGATTCTAGGAGCTGTGTGGGAGAGGGAAACCAAATACGTGTTTCACAGTAACACAGTTGTCTGCCTTTGTCTGCTCCCCTAAAGCTTTTGCTGATTACCAGCTAATATTTTTTCCCTATCAGCTGATATTTTTCCTCTCCCATTTATTTTAAGTAGACACTGTGTCACTACCACCATGGATGGTAAGTCAGTATCAGCTGTTACAAATATAGGATAACAATAAAGAAAAGAAGGGGAAACCAACATGATGGGCAGAGCCAGGCTCCTTGCACCACTGGCTGGGAGCTGCTGTTCAGGACCCCCGTCTGCTGGCTGCCCATGGTGCCCTGGTTTGCGTGTGCAAATGTGCTAGACGTGTCGGTGTGCTTTCTTCTCTCTCAAACCGGTCGAATGAAGAGCGTTCTACATGGGTAACTGAAAGTTAAAGAACCTTCGTAACAGGAACCAGGAACCCCAGTGCAAAACACCGCTGGGACAGTCCCCCCGTGGTGAACTGGACGGGCTGCCTGCGTAGAGGATGGATCGGTTAGTGCTCGTGTTAACTACTGCAGGGTGTATGCAAGGGAGAAAACCTTAAAGCTTTGAAAATGTCTTACATTTTGTCTTTAAGACCTTGCCACCATGGAAGAAAGAATACAAAGACGATATTATGAAAAGCTGACGGAATTTGTGGCGGATATGACCAAAATTTTTGATAACTGCCGTTACTACAATCCCAGTGACTCCCCTTTTTACCAGTGTGCAGAGGTTCTTGAGTCATTCTTTGTACAGAAACTGAAAGGATTCAAGGCCAGCAGGTGAGTCCCTGTGCGCTCGATGCTCTGAGTGAGTTCAGTTTGGCAGACCCTGCACTGTGCATCTGAGGAGTCAGCCTCTACAGTGTCGCGGTTATGGTAAATCTGCATCTTACAATCCAAAAAAAAAAAGCCAGACTTAACATTCTGATACCACCAAAGGCAGATTAATAATGAAAATATTAATTATTAAAAATAATGTGAGGTTTGATTTTGCTCTACCTAAAATTGGAGTCTTTTGAAAGTCAGAAAGCATTTCCCAGATACCTGAGGGGTGCAGAGAGCTGTCAGGTGCCACAGGCCACACAGCTGTCAAAGGCTCTGGCTCTCGGGTTTCCCTGTGTGAGTTCCTGCTGCTCTACCTCCGGAGGTGAGGGCAGTGTACAAATGGCTGCGTCTAGGGTCGAGGAAGGGGAACCCTGCAGAGGGGAGACTTCCGTTTTTTTGTAGGCAAGGCCACAGACCCCTGTGTTTGGGAACCAGTAGTAATATAGGAAAAGCATTGCACAGCTTTGCCTCAGTTGCATCAAATTCAGTTCCTGTGACCTTCACTTGCCTCTGTTTCTGAACGCGGCTCCCTCTCACAGCCGTGGTTTCTTCCTTCCTGTGGAGGGCTGTTCTCCATTCCATGGTAGCTGCCACCATTCGGGAGCACTTGAGACCCCTCCCGCACCATCCTCATCCGTCAGCCCACACGCTCCATCACCCCCGCCTAGGCAGACTCGGCACCTTACCTTGGCGTCTGTGCATGGCCTAAGGGGCTGTGAGACCCAGCGCTCTGCAGTTTCCTCCGAAGAAAATCTGTAGCATGTGTTTTCTCGGTTGTCCTGGAGAAAGGTAGATGGCTACCAAGAGCTGTATTTCAGAGTCATAGAGACAGAAAGAAAAGGCATTGTGCACAGTAGGTTAAGCCGCTGGTATCCCATTTGGGCGCCTACTGGAGTCCTGGTTGCTCCACTTCCAATCCAGTTCCCTGTTGAAGGTCCTGGGAAAGCAGCTCAAGATGGCCAAGTGCTTGGGTCCCTGCCACCCACATGGGAGACCCGGTGGAGTTCCTGGCGTTGGGCTGGGCCAGCCCTGGCCGTTGCTGCCTTTTGGGGAGTGAACCAATAGATGGGGGATCGCTGTCTTTCCTTCTCTCTGTGTAACTATGCCAAATAAATAAATGAATCTTTTTAAAAGAGAGAGAGAAAGAAAAACCCACATCCAGTGACCTGCTCAGGAAAGGAATCAAAAGCCGCAGGCAAGGAAAGCAGGCAGGCGCAAGGTGTGGGCCGTGACCATCTCTGGGACTGCCCACACGTTTGTCATCCCGTGAACCCAGTGCTGCACAGCTTGAAGAGGAAAGTGACTTTCTCAGTTCTCTGAAAAATAAAAACAACATGAGGATGAAAAAGAGATAACACTCAGAGTATCGGGAGGATATGGTGGAAGCTGGCTGATCAGATTTCAGCAATCTGCATAATATAAATTTCTGGAAGATAGAAAGCAGGTGGAGGAAGACCAACTCATGAAGTCAGGCAAGCCGCAGACCACTGACAGTGACACTGACATTGAGAAATCCTTGTTTCTCATTGAAAGTGCAACCTGCCAGCCAGTAAGCCCTACAGACACACAGAGGCCTTCCAAGCCCCTGTGGGTCCTAAGAACCAAAAGGACAGCATGGTGACCAGCATTGTGGCAAGGTGGGCAAAGCTGGCTGTAATGCCTGGCATCCCATATGGGCACCGGTTCAAGTCCTGGCTGCTCCACTTCTGATCAAGCTCCCTGCTAATGTGCCTGGGAAAGCAGCGGAGGATGGCCCAAGTCCTTAAGCCCCTGCACCCACGTGGGAGACCTGGGTGAAGCTCCTGGCTCCTGGCTTTGGTCTGGCCCAACCCAACCATTGTGGCCATCTGGAGAGTGAACCAGTGTATGGAAGATCTCTCTCTGTATAACTCTTTCAAATAATTAAATAAATCTTTTTTTTTTTTTTTTTCCCTGACAGGCAGAGTTAGACAGTGAGAGAGAGAGACAGAGAGAAAGGTCTTCCTTCCTTTGGTGCACCGATCCGAAGGCAGGAGCCAGGTGCTTCTCCTGGTCTCCCATGGGGTGCAGGGCCCAAGCACTTGGGCCATCCTCCACTGCACTCCCAGGCCGCAGCAGAGAGCTGGACTGGAAGAGGAGCAACCAGGACAGAATCCGGCGCCCCGACCGGGACTAGAACCTGGGGTGCTGGTGCCGCAGGCGGAGGATTAGCCTAGTGAGCCGCGGCGCCGGCCAAATAAATCTTCTTTTAAAAAATAAGTTGAAAGGACAGGTTGATTGGTCCCAGGGAGCCTGGGTCGCAGGTTGAGGAAAGGTGTAACAGGAGCACAGCTCATCGAAAGCCCCCTTGCTTTGTGATTTACACCTTGACAATGAACTATTCCTCAGATTAGGTTCCTGAAAAAATATTTCTACTCCAAAGGCCTTGGGAGAGAACTCTGCAGTAGAAGCTGGGGGGTCTGAACCCGCCCCGTGCCAGGCTGCTGGAGCGCTGAGGGCCAGGGTGGCAGCTGCTGGTGCAGAGGAAGAAACCTGGGGCCTGTGGCAGAACCAAAGGATGTGGGGCAGCCCGGCCGTGGGCCTGGGCAGTGGGCTGTGCCTGGCCCAGCCCCGCTCCTGCCCGGGTGGTGGTCTGTAGCTTTTCCTGCGCTCAGATGCACTCCTCTTCATCGAGGAGCTTGGAGCTGAACCGAGAGCTGCGCTCAGTTCTGTTGGGATCACAAGGCGCTCTGTCAGGAGCTGCAGAAAGGCCGCGCAGCACCCTCGGCCGCTTTGTGCAGGACCAGTGCTGCTTTGCCGTAGTTCCCCTCTCTAACTTGTGGTCCCCAGTGTTGTTTGCACATTATTTTTGTTATTGCGCTTTTTTACAATTCATCATTTATACCATCCATGTCCTTTCTTTTCTTACAGATTGTGATATCTTTAGTCTGAATTTTTAACTGGAATCAGAACTGGATGTTGAGGTCACTCTTATTGTACCACGTGATTACCTAATTCAAAATTGCCCCCCAGAAGTTGAGATTAGTTAATGCAGTTTTAATATGGAAAGATGTACAGTGGTAGACCACCTACTGCAGCAGCCATGAATGATGTATTTAAAAATTGTAAGCTCTTGGAAGACTGTATTTATCTGCTATTGCAATATAAAGTACTTTGACCTACTCCTGGGAACTGTACAGTAACTTGGTTTACTAACAAAAGTTGTGAATAAAACTGTGAAACTAGAAGAGAGGATTTCTGGGATTTAATAGAAAAAATGTGATTTTAATATTGCTATTTTCCTTCTTTTAATATAATTTTCCCTTCATGTTCCCCAGATTAATGTAAATAAACACACACGCACACTCATGCACACACACCCTTACTGCAAGGGGAGTGTTTCTGTAAATGTCTGTGGTCCCATTGACTAAAATTGTTGTAATCTTTATTAGAAAAATATATAGATATATATTTTTTTAAGATACTGGCTTTTTCCAGTAAGCTATCATGTTTAATGTACACTGAAAAGTTTTAATATTATAGGTTAAAATCTCCTTAATTGTTCCCTTGTACTTGCTTGCCAAGGGTGAATGAAAGAATATGGCTGCTTCCCCCAGACTGCCTGACCTTGGCATCCACATAAAGCATCATTGTTTTCAAAATGAAGGGTGCTTAATTGTTCCCTTTTTTCTGTATTCTGTAGGTCTCATAACAACAAACTGCAGTCTACAGCTTCTTAAAGTTCAGCGTGTTAATCTAACATAAAACACAGCAAGAGTCTGGTTGTCTGAACTATTTTAAATTAAGGAGCCAGATGTTTTTAGTCAGGTTATCCTGACAAGACGTGACCTATACTTCGTTTTTATTGGTCCTAACAGTCCAGTTATATTCTTGGCCAATTTTGTCCAACGGACAAGGGAAAAAGCAAAGTCAACGACACCATTATCTTGTCAAGATCAAATGGTTTTACTATTGTGGCAGAAGCGGGAAAACTTTGTTTATTTGAAAAAAAAAAAAAAAGAAAGCAAGAAAAAAAGATACTATGGGGTCAAGTGTAACTCCATGGAAGTGCCACGTCTGCTCTTCAGTGAAGAAGCTGGTTTAGAGTCTCACAGGAAACTTTTGACTGTATTTATTTATTGTTGCAAAAAAGACGCTTTTTTATTGCTGCCCTCATTTGTCAGCTAATTATTTTTTCTTAAAAAATCCAGCCCCGGTTACATGTAATCCATCCTGTATCGTATCATGATTCCTGTAGGTAAAAGTACAAGACGACCTCTAGATGTCTTTTCTTTCTATGAAAGGAGCTGCTATGTACACATGTGCACACACACACAACTGGGAATCAACAATGAGTTTATTGTTCATGGGAGATAAAAGTTAAGCTTGCGTAAAGGTTGGGCTAAGCGGTCCTGGACTACAGACTCTGTTGCCTTGAATATACCAGTACCATTTGTCATTCACTCTGCACCAGGCTAAAATGAGTAAAATCTATTTGAAGGTATCTTGTTTGTAAACATTTGTCAGATTCTAATTTTTTCTTTTTGTATTAAAATTCAACTATGGATGTATATGAAACAAAATAAATGGAGATCCTTTTTCTCCCACAGCTGGAGGTGTCTGAGTGTGCGCTAATGCTTCTCTGTAAGCCTTTGTGGGGAGGGGGCCGCAGGTGGAGAGAGGCAGGAGCACCCACTGGCCCTGGGCTTCTCAGGACAGTGGCTGCCTTCATCTTTCATTCCCAGTCCATCGTCCTCACGGCAGAGAAGACCGTGCGGGGGTGCTCATCCTGTCGCATCACTGCTCATGCTGACCGTCACGGTAATGTGACAGAACGCGCATCGCCTTCATCTCCATCCTGTGCCGCCACACAGCCACTTAGATGTCAGGAAGGACATGTTTCAGACGTCCTCCTCTTTCTATTTTCTGTTTGTTGGTTGAGTTTGTGGTTTGTTTCTTTGTTCCACAAAAGGACAAGTAGTGTCAGCAGTAGGGAAAAGCACGGGCACAGCAGAGGAACAGCAGTGGGTTCTGCATGTCTTTCCTTGCAGTGTTCTGACTCGGCGCTGTACTACCGCACTGTAGCAGTAGCCTCTGTGGAATCCTCCATAGTTGGATTATGCAGCTTTGCAGAACTTTACCTAGATTTTGCACTGATTCATGTTAGCTCTGTCCTGTCGAATTCCAGGATTGATCAGATCATTGTTTTTAAAAGTTTCCTTCTGTTTAATGTTGCCCTGCTATGCAAAATCTTTCTAGGACCATAGTTTCTTAAAAGTTAATGACGTTGCTACAGTTCCCGATTCTTTCTTACGATTACAGGCTCAGGTGTACAGGTTATTCTGGGTTAATTTTATCTAACGATGCCCATTCCTTTTTGTACATAAAGATATCACTTAAATCTATGCTTACAAACTAAAGAGACTAATTGCTCAATATGAACACATAGAAGCAAAGTTTTTGCTTAAAATCTTAAAGTGGAATTAAAGATAGGTTATTTTGTCCTTTTCATTTTTAAAAGTTGTTACTTATTGTATGCACTGTGCTGATGCAAGAATTCTACATTTTAATGAATTATAAAATTATTCTGCATCTCATCACGTCACAGTATTTCTGTACTATTTATTCATATATATATAAATATATATGGGCTTAATAATTGAAAACTTGTTGCGGCAAGGACTTTCCTACCTGTAGGCAATAGATTGCTATGTTTTTAACAAATTGTTGCAAATTCTAAACAGCAATTCTTTTTGTACGTAATAGGACATTTCATCCTAGCAAAAATAAAGTAATGTTTTTGACATTGGATTTGGTGCAGTTTCTAATGAAACAATGGTTGCTTGGTTGGTTGATATATTTTCTGTAGCTGTTGGCATTGCCAAATTGTACAAAGGTAAATTTTATGGAGATCTCAAGACTAGGAAGATGTTAATTTCCTATGTGTATTTAATGGTATAAAGGCTTTTGCAATTTCTATCACCATATAAATACCTAAAGACATTTTATAGTTTTATCAACTACAGAGCTTTAGTCTTTGGAAAGTAATTTTTTGAAAAAACATTCTTATTTGAAAAGCTGCTTTTCTACGCGGATCCTTTGACAAGCGCCTGCTGTACAGCGAGATGCACCTGTGGGGAGAGCTGTTCCGCTTTCAGTAATCCACGTAGTGTGATGCACATTTGTGATACTGTCACGATGTTTCCAACCCAGTCTCTGGGCCTGTAAATACCTGGTTTGCATCAGTAGGTTTCCTTGACTAAGTATTTTCCATGTTTGTTATGCTTCATCCACCAAGTTCACAATCTTTGAAACCATTTCATAAAAAGTATTTTCATAATATTCTTAGGGCTTTTTTCTCTTAGCCATATTCTGCAGGATTTGCTTTTCATTATCCTGCAGTAGGTTAAAAAAAATTGTGAACTTTGGGGGATATTTTCTAAAGGAAAACACGTAATTTACCTTTTTATATTTCGAGTGGCCTGGAGTGTTGTGTGGAGACACTGAGATTTGCTGTGTTTGTAACCTACCTTCCTAGAATCTGCAAATAAAAGTTCTTTCCCTGTTTCTGTTCATTTCTGTTAGGCAGATCCCCTGCCTCTTCGTGTTTCTGATATTAAAGAATCGGCTTGGTGGCCTTTGAAAAAAATCTCTGTTCACTTTTCAGACCGCGTTGGAGAGAACCACAGGGGTATGACAGCCTTCTGTCCGCAGACGGGCTCAGGTGTCTAACCCTTACGATGAGAATGGCGTGTCCTGTGGCTTAGAAGTACTTGTGTGGCTGCAGGGGCTGTTTTTTAATAATTTGCAATTCTGAGGTGCTTCTAGAAACTTAGATTTGAGAAAGAGAAAAAACACTTCAAGTCACATTCCCTGTTTGGACTAAATTCAGCTAAAGAAATAAGCTGAATTTTTAAGATAATAAACTCCTGGTTTTGTAACTTGTTGCTTGCTCAAGTATGTCTTGGAATTGAGGTTCTGCATTAGGCAGAAGGTCAGTTTTTAAGTGTTTGCATACATGTGTGCTTGGCCAACCTTAAAAATGAATTCAAGAGAACTATAAACGGTAGCTACTACCCAAACAAGTGTGTGTGTTCTATAGACCTTTGCCTACCAAAAGAAAAATATATTTTCCTCCCAGAATTCTGAAGTAATAGCTTAACTATTGAACTGCTGGTGACTCTCCCTTGGAGGCAGCAGGTTTTTGGTGTTTTGTTTTTGTTTTTTTGACAGGCAGAGTGGACAGTGAGAGAGAGACAGAGAGAAAGGTCTTTGCCGTTGGTTCACCCTCCAATGGCCGCCGTGGCCGGCACACCGGCAGCAGGTATTTTATTGATGAGAGGCCATTGTGTGTGCCCACAGACAGGGCACTGTAATGTGTGTCGAGTGCAAACTGTGCTTAAGGAAAGAAAAGTCCTCCTCTACGACAAGAGGATTAGAAACTATGATCCATGGGTTCATGGGTTCCCTAAGATTTCCTATAGGACTGAAGATTGTATCGGAAGTCCTGGCTCAAGGCTGAGCAGGGAAGTCCCCTGCCCGTTCTTCACGCCTCCCGTGTACACCCCGGCACCTGCTGCTGCTCCGCCTCACTCAGCCAGCCCTTGGAGACCTGGCCTAGAACGAGGGTCCAGCTTTTATCCGCGTGGTTTCTGAACAGTCTGTGTGTGTCCTGCCAGGGTGTTCCTATGAATGACAGGAGCTCCCAAATACCCACAAATCACGGCTCTGGCACAACAAGCCTAACCCTAACCCTCAAGTTTATAGAAAAGTGATTTTGTTTTTAAAACCAGTGCACTGTATAATTTTTTATGCCGTAACATCTGATCATCCAGTCAGCAATCTCTTTGGTAACTTTCTCCAGCATGTTTCTCAGGGTCACCAGCCAGCCCTTCGGTATCGAAAATTCAGCTTTGACTTAGGTCATTGCCACGATTTTATCCCTGAGTTGACGTTAGAGAAAACTCAACTCTGCAGCAGCTACACACTGCGTTACCAGTAGTTTATGTAGTAACGCAGTTGGTTCCCAAGAAGCAGTTTTTGAAAAAAATTTTAATGAGGTTGGACAAGACTCATGATTTGGATAAATTTCTCTAAAATCCCTTCAGCAATACTTTGCCTCCTAATAGGACCTCTGGACTTTATTTTACTAAATGCACCTCAAGTTTGGAGCCAATGAGGTGACAACAGATGTTACAACTCAGGCAGCTGCTGCTTGCTTCCCTGCACGGTGCTTGTGTGGGGCTTAGTCCCTGCAGTGCATCTTCAGCCATGCAGTTACCCCAAGGACAGCTCGGTCTCCCGAAAAATCTGCAGTGTGCTCGTGGGCTCAAGGATAACACCGGCATTAAATGGCTAGCGAGCACATCTACTTCAGAGTAGTCGGAAAACGGAACAGTCGCTTGCTTGCGTGCTGGCATGGTTGAATACTGATGGGGGGTGGGGGTTGTGTTTGTTTTCTGGAGTACATCTGAGAAAGCCTTTTCCTCAAATTGTTGAGGTTTGGTGAAGCTAAAAAAAAAAAAAGGTACATCCAAGATCGGACTTCAAAGCAAGGTTTACTACTTTACAAACATGGCACTTGGTCTTCATTGTAAAATGACATCAGATACACCCAGGATACATTTAGCATTGGAATAGCTGCCCGTTTAGCGTGAAACCTAAGCTACTAGGAGCAGGGAGGCATTGGGGAGACAAGCTGTGTCATGTCTTGGTGCCTCAGGAACACTTGTCTGCTTGAAGTGAGCCCGTTAGGACTGACTGTTCAAATGTAAAATTTTAGTATTTGTCCTGGACTCTGCGCTTACTAATGTACAGAACTTAAAATGTGATGGTTTGCATATAAAATTTGGTTTGATTCATGATGTAAGCTATCCAAAGTTGTATATTTCAAGAAATGTGTGTGTGTGTGCGTGTGTGTGTGAACCATTTCTACTGAAGAGTTGGCATTAAATTAAAATAATTTAAAAACTTGACATGACGCCGTGATCTGTTAGCTGGACGGATCGCAGCGCGGCCGCGGGGCCGCTGGGTGGCGGGGCCGGGCCGCCGGGCTCGGGAAGCCGCGGTTCTAAGTGCGGTGCCTGCAGCCGGGGCAGCCGTGGGTGGGGACCCCGGGCCGGGAGGGCGGAGGCCGCCGGGAGTCAGGGGCACTGGGTGAGAGCCGCGCCCTGAACGCGCCCGGCCCGCCGGCGGTTAAACCTCTTCGCGTAGCCGCTGCCGGTGCCGAGCAGCCCGTCTCCCGGCCGCAGGCGCCCTCGCAGGACCTGCAGCAGGGCTGCGGGCAGCTGCCGCCTCTTGTGGTAGATGTGGCCCATCACGATGTACCTGCTGCCTGCACAGAACAGAGAGGGGGTCAGTGCCACTGCCCCTTCGACAGTGCCCAGACGGTGCAGGGCCGGCACCCCGAGCCTCCCCTCCAGCTCCCTGCTGACGACGGCCAAGTGCCCAGGCCCCGTGCCACCCTCGGGGCGACCTGGAGGGAGCGCCGGGCTCCGGCAGAGCCCAGGCCGTGACACGCAGAGGTCACCGGGTCAGTTGCAATACCAGGCTTCAGCTCTGGGCACGGCTTATGGCAGCTGGAGACGTCCAGGGCGAGGATGTGCACGCGGAAGAAAAACCCGTCGGGCGCGACGTACAGGCGGCTCATCTTGTACAGCCCGTCGCGGTCCACCAGCAGCGTCACCAGCCGGACGCCCGTGCCCAGCACGTCCACGTCGTGCACGATCCCGTTCACGGCTGCTTTCCAGAAAGGGCGGGAGGAAAGAGCGTGGCTCGGACCCGGGCCGCGGCCCCCGCGGGCTGGCGGGTGGGGGGCCGCGGCGGGGCCGGCTCACCGAACTCGCTGGCGCAGAACGCCTCCCGCTCGTCCGCGTCCGCCCGGCAGGCGCGCGCGCAGGGCTCGGCGCCGGGCTCGGGGTCGCTCCGCGGCGGCGGCGGCGCGGGCGCGGGCCCCGGGGGCGGGGCGGCGGCGGCGGCGGCGGCGGCGCGCGGCCGGTTGGGGTGGGCGTGGCCGTCGGGGGCCTCGGCGGCGCGCCGCGCGGCCGGGAAGCGCAGGGCCCGGGCGCGCGCGCGCCGCGGCGACGGGCGGTTGTCGGCCTGCGCGAGCCGCGGGGCCGGCGGGCCGGCGGGCGCGCGCGTGGCCTCCCGGAAGCCGGCGCGGTTCTCGGCGGGTGGCGGGGCCTTCCGGCGGCGGGGGTCGGGCCAGGCGCGGGGGGCGGTGTCCGCCGCGCGCGGCCGCCGGGGGGCTTCGGGGACCGGCTGCCCCCGGGGGCCCGGCGTCACCTCGGCTCCCCGGACGCCGCTGGGGTCGGGCTTTCTGTCGCGAGGCGGCGACGCTGTGAGGAGAGAACCGGGGGCGGCCGTCAGGGGCGGAGAAGCGGGGAGGGCGAAGGGAGGCCGCGGCGGGGAAGCGGGCGCGGCGCGGGGAGGACCCCCGCAGGCACCTGCCGGGAGTGCCCGTGGGCTGAGGCGAGGAGACCCCCACGTGGCGTCCGAGTGGAGCGCGCGTCTCCCGGGCCCCCCAGGACAGGTTTAGGCGCCGAATCCCAAGGCGCCTTTGCAGGTCCGACAGCCCTGTGCTGCTTCTGGGGCTGGACGGCTTCCGACAGCCCTGGTTCGAGAACTCTCTCTGCCCCTCCTTTCGTATCCGTCTACACCGAGAGGTATAGATACGGCCGTGGCTGTGTAAACAGCCGCCTTTTTCGCTATTTACAGTTGGTAGAGAAAGTACGGAGAGCAGGCCCCGGGGGGAAAGTCTCAGGTTACAGGTCCTCCGGGTAGCTGAGCGCCCCCTGACCACCAACTATTTGGTTTTCCCATCCGTGTTTACACTGTCATCGCGGGCTCTGCGAGTGGGTTTTTTATCCGACTTCTCGGACACCACGGCGAAGAGCGGCTTTGCAAGCCGGGCCGGGAGGCGCAGGCCCCTGGCTAAGTATAAAAGCACACATCGCTCACGTACCCCCCCCCAACACACACACACACACACACACACACAATAATAATAATAACCATTCAAAGGGGATGGCGCGAGGACGAGCTTTTTAAATTATTACCCCGTCTCGGCAGCTCTGCAGACTGGTTGGCGAGCGCGGCCTGGAAGCGGGGCCAGGCTCCAAGCCCAGCCCGCGGGGTCACGTCCCCCTTTGCGGGGGTCGCAGTGCGGGCACCCGAGCCCCAGGACCGCGCCTCGCGGTGTTGCGGCTTGGCAACACTTCTTTGAAGGCGCTTTGTCCTGCCACACTGATCTCTAACATCAGCTTTGGCCCAGCGGCGCTAGCTGGGGAGGGTTCGTGGTTTTTGTTTTTGTTTGTTTGTTTTTGTTTTTGTTTTTGCAAAGGGGCTGGATCTGACTCCTTCTGCTCCGCGGCTGCACGGTTCCCAGCGGAATAAAGTCCTGGTGGACATCCAGGCTCTGGCTGTCCACGGTTGACCTCGCAACTGCTTCCCATTGATGCCACCATCTGTTGTCACGGGCAAGACCGCCTGATATGTGGGTGAAATGCCACCGAAGTCGGTCCATTTCCATGTGGGAAAAGAACCTAAATTGCCCCGCGATGTGCGGAAGCTGCTTTTCCCAGAGAGGGTGAAGCCAAAGGAACACCCCAGTGGGAGCAGAAACAAAAACAAAAAACCCACAAAAAAACGCGAGCCCGCAGGGAGCGCCTGAGTTCTGTCCCCGCAGCGGCTGCGTTTCGCGTGCTGCAGGAAATGTGCGCGCCGATCCGCCGGGCCGGACCCCCGGCTCAGGTGTCCCCGGGCCGGCCGCGGGGCCAGGGGTCCCCGCTGCGCCCCACGAGCCCGGCCCGCGCCACGACCCCTTTGGCCACCCTCCCTCCCCTACGACGGAGCAAACTACTTAACATGCAAAGTTTTCCGCAGCCGGCCTGGCTCGCCGGCGGTCGTTGCAGACAGCGAGGGGGCATCGTTCTCCGAAAACGCGGAGGGGACACGGAATCCTGGGGACACAGTCCACTCCTTTCCAACGCGAACGCTGACCCGGAGTCGGCTCCCGCAGGCGCGGACCGTGGCGCGCTCTCCCCGGTCCGCTGCAGGTCCCAGCTGCCCTCCCGGGGCTCTGCATTCCGGCCACCTTACCTTTCCTTTCCAGCCCCGGGGCCTCGGGGGCTGATCCCACGAGCAAACAGAGAAGCCACAGAGCCCGAGCTGTCATTTCGGCAGGCAGGGTTCCCGGGCTCTCACACCCGGCCTGGGCTCGCGCTCGCCGGCTCTCCCCCCACCCCCGTTCATGCTAATGAGGGGCAGCCAGTGGGGAAACGGGACTCAGGGAGCGGACCATTGAACAAAACCGAGCTGCAGGGATTTCTTGCCCTCGCTCGGGGGGCGAGCACATGGCCGCTCCGAGTCGTCCGTGGCGACCTGCGCCCCGCGATGCGGGGGCCCCGGGAGCTTCGCGTCTCAGCTTTGCGCCTGGGCGGGTCTGCGAGGCCAGGGAGCAGAGGGTGGCGGGGCCGGGAAGGGATTGAGGCACTGGGGGCCGCAGGACGGGGTCAGGGGAATCCGCGATGGGGACGTCTTGCAGATGAAGCCAGCGCACCCCGGAATGGCAGCCAACTCCCAGAAAGTTACTGCCTCCTAGGTTTGGCGAAACTGTCATCACACCACGTGAGGCTCTTCCAAAAGTTCATGAAAATGCTTACTGCGATTTTAAAAAACGTGGATGGGTTTCAAAACTCTGCACCAAAATAAACGTAACTTTTGATTCCATTTCCCGTGATCTGAAGTCCTCTTGCATATACCATACTGCTATGCCAGGACCAGAGAACAGAAACCCTCAGCAAAAACGGCTTTCTATTTCTCTCCTCTCCTTCCTCCCCCCACCTCCTCCTCTCCTCTCCTCTCCTCTCCTCTCCTCTCCCCTCCCCTCCCCTCCTCTCCTCTCCTCTCCTCTCCTCTCCTCTCCTCTCCTCTCCTCTCCTCTCCTCCCCCCACCTCCTCCTCTCCTCTGCTTCCCCCACCTCCTCCTCTCCTCTGCTCTCCTCTCCTCTCCTCCCCCCACCTCTTCCTCTCCTCTCCTCTCCTTTCCTCCCCCCACCTCTTCCTCTCCTCTCTTCTCCTCTTCTCCCCCCACCTCCTCCTCTCCTCTCTTCTCTCCTCTCCTCTCTTCTCCCCTCCCCATCCCTCCTCCTCCTCTTCCTCCTCTTTCTTCTTTCCTCTCTCTCTCTCTCCCTCCCTCCCTCCCCCCTCCCTCTCTCCCTCTCTCTCATTGAAATTGCTGTTGAGTGACCAGATGCACGAATCCATAGAGCCCGGTGTAAAACACCTTTCACCGATCTCCCTGGGGAGGAGGATGGCTCATCTCAAGAAAGGTAGACTTTCTAAGGAAGATGGACTCGCTCCCTCCTGACCGCCTGACTCCTGGAGACGGCGCTGTGGATGGGCCTGTGCCAGTCCCTTTCCTGGACTGAACAGAAACAGCGTTCACCCCGGGAAAGTCAGCTCACCAGGGTGACAACCTCAGCAACGCGCACACATCTCGGGCCATGCGCTTCGGATCCAGAGGAAGTACAAGGTACAAGCCAGCAGACAGAAGTAAAAACCAAGAAGAAAAACCCACTGGTGCCCCAGAAGCTCATGTCTGAAAAGTCACAGTGCTGGTGAGCCGGCTGGGGCAGGGGGATCTTGCTGACAAAGACTCGGGCGGGGGGTGTGAGAAGGCCACACTCTGCATCTTCGGGCGTCTTCCGAGGAGCTAAGGATGGCAGCCACCACACAGCAAAACAGCAGTTATACTGTGTGCTTCAAGTAGTTCATGGAACATAGAATTTTGTTTTTTAAGTCCAACATGATTATTTTACAATAAGCATTTCCCAAGAACTTCTAAAAAAAAAAAAAAAGACTTACTTATTTGAAAGGCAGAGAAAGAGAGAAATCTTCCATCCACTGGTTCAATCCCCTAAATGTCTGCAACTCCCCCAAATGCCTGGGCCAGGCTGAAGCCAAGAGCCAAGAACTCCATCTGGGTCTCCTACGTGGGTGGCAGGGGCCTGAGGACGTGTCCCATCATCTGCTGCCTTCCCAGGCGCATCAGCAGGGAGCTGCATCCGCAGTAGAACAGCCGGGAATGGAACCAGCACTCCGATACAGGATGCTGGCGTCACAAGTGCCGGCTTAACACACTGCATCACAACGCCTCCCCTCCAAGGGCTGCCTGAAGGTTCCCTGCACGGTGTGAACGTACCCGTAGGTCGGAGCTGTGAAGTGGCCAGGTTGATGTCAACAAAGAATGTTCTGACAATCAAGATCTCCAAGAAAGCTGACTGCTTTTGGGGGGGCGGGGGTGGCAAATAGCTTCCGGTCACCGGGAGCATCCACCGGGGAGAACAGCAGAGACGCTGTGCAGTGGGTTCCCACAGCACACATGCTGTGCTTGGAGGGGTCCAGTGAGCAAACAGGACGCTGGAAGGCGACACCTGGCTCTGCAGTCTGGTCCTCCGCTGCCCACAGAGTATCAGCTCCGTGGAACCCCGTTCACGAAAAACAGATGCATAAACCGATACCATCTGCCCCTCTGCAATGGGGAGGGCCAGCGTGGAGGTGACTGGGAGCTCTGATTACCAGTCAGACACGTGCCTGCTGCACGCTAAACTCACGTTGCAGCTGAAGGAAGAGGGTGACCTTTCTTCATGTGGGCATCAAAGGAGTGAATTCTGGCCTCCGAAACAGCAAGGCTGTGCACAGGACAATAAACCCTGGACAGTGCATGGCCCCGGGCCCTCTTAACGGTTGTCCTCGGAGCCCCCTGCTCTCACAGGCGCTTTCATAATATTAATTAGGCTGAAGTTTTCTCAGTTACGACAGAACCTTCCTGCCCTGACATTCAAGTCATCCGGATCCAGTCGGGTGTTCCTGGAACTCCTCTGTTATGGGAATGCTGAGAACTCCTGCACCCTGGAGAGGGAGAGAGCGGGCCGGAGGGCGCCCAGGGCTTCCAGGACGGCACCAGCTGGGCAGCATTTGGCTTGCAAGCTCAGAAGCTACATAAACGGCACGGATCCGGCCGGCGCTCCAGTGCATTTGGGCACCGGTTCTAGTCCCGGCTGCTCCACTTTCAATCTAGCAGAAGGAAGATCTCTCTCTCTCTCTCTCTGCCTCTCCTTCTCTCTCTGTAAAACTCTGACTTTCTTTTTCTTTGACAGGCAGAGTGGACAGAGAGAGAGAGACAGAGAGAAAGGTCTTCCTTTTCCGTTGGTTCACCCTCCAATGGCTGCCACAGCCAGCGCACTGTGCTGATCTGAAGCCAAGAGCCAGGTGCTTCTCCTGGTCTCCCATGCACTTGGGCCATCCTCCACTGCACTCCCAGGCCACAGCAGAGAGCTGGCCAGGAAGAGGGGCAACCAGGACAGAATCCGGCGCCCCAACTGGGACTAGAACCCGGTGTGCCGGCGCCACAGGCGGAGGATTAGCCTAGTGAGCTACAGCGGCGCCGGCTGACTTTCAAGTAAATAAATAAATCTAAAAAAAAAAAAAAAAAAGAAAAGAAAAGAAAAGAAAAAAAAAAAAAACACAACACGGATCTAGGTAGAGATCTCTTTACACAAACAAGCCACAGGAAAAGCCAGATTGTCACGGGGTGCTGGTAATGGAACCGGAGCAGAGGCAGGTTGTGTGCCCGGGATGTTTACTGGTGTTGGCTTCCCATAGCCTCACTGGGTTCCTGGCATGGAGCTTCTAAAAACCCTTGGGACTTCCCAAGTGATAGACACATCTTTGTTAGGCATGGGTGGGTGTCCTGGGTCACGCCTGGTGCATGCTAAGGAGCTGACTTGTGGAGAGCCCTTGATAGCTGTGCATTTGTCCATTTCCTGTTGCTATAACAAAATACCTGAGGCTGGACACTTACAAAGAAAATAGGTTATTTCACTCCCAGTTGTGGAGGCCTCATTTGCTGGGTCTCTGGTGAGGGGATCCTGGCACCTGGGGAGTACATGGCCAGACAGGAGGCCAGAGCAGGGACAGTGCAGTCTTGCTTCTTTGTATCAACCCACACTTGCAGGAACAAACAGGGTTCCAGAAGAAACACATTAATTCTGGGTTCCACAGGAAACACACGAATTCCTTCTGAAGGCAGTGCCCCCACCCACTCAATCACTGCCCCCAGACTCCACCACCTCCCAACGTCCCCCATCCGCTCAATCACTCCCCCCAGACTCCACCACCTCCCAACGTCCCCCACCCACTCAATCACTCCCCCCAGACTCCACCACCTCCCAACATCACCACAGTGAGGACCAAGCTTCCAACACGTGAACCCTTGGGGACACACGCAAACCATGTCCACACCATAGCAGAGTGAGGACTTGCCATCAGCAAGACCAAGCAGGGGGTCAGAGGGTCGGGACTTTGGCCCAGGGAAGAGAGGAGGCTGGAGACTGAGTTCAGTCATGGGTCCAAGGAGGTCCTCAGGCATGCCTACTTAACTATAGAATCTCTGGACAGAGATTCGGCAGAGGTTCCTGTTAAGAACGGAGTAACATTCTCGGATGGGGACATGCCGTGAGCCACAGGAGGAGGACACAGAAGCTCCACACTGAGAACCCTGCCCCGCGCGTCTCTCCATCTGACTGCTCCTGATCCACACCCTTCGGTAAAGCTGTCGTCACACCGAAGTGCCCTCCTGAGAGCTGGGAGTCATTCCAGAGAATGACCAGACCTGACGTTGCACCTGAGGACCCCGGGGGTGTGGACAGTTGGTCTGCACTGAAGGCAATCTCGCTATGGACCGTGCACTGTTATTGGCTGGGGCCGCACTGGCCCTGGGTGATTAACGCTGTTATTGAAATGCAATACCCCTGTGGGTATGGGACTACTCTGGGCAGAAACCAGAAATACCAGTCATCATGGTTGTTCAAAACGAGAACAATACAGTTGCTTTGGTTCCCATTGGGTAAGTTACAGTCGTGGTCTGGTTCTTCGCTTTCAAGACCATCTTGATTGGAGCCGGGATGTCCCCAACTTCTTCCGACTTTCACAGACAGATTGACTCCCACAAGCGCTGGGCTAGGTCCTGGGATACACAGATTCCTCCCCGCAAGTGGCTCACAGACTATTCTGGGAAGTCACATTCAATGTACCGTGTTGTGTGTAACATGAAGTTGCACCTGCTGGAGCGAAAGGCCTGGCTAACTGGAGGTGAGGCCAGGTGAAGTTTGTGGGGATAAGTCACAGAGACAGTGGCCCCCAGTATCTGCCAGTTCCACATCTATGAATTCAACCAACTGCAGATAAAAAAATATTTGAAAAAACTGCATCTGTACTGAACATGTACAGGTTTTTAAAAAATTATTATTCCTTAAGTAATACTGTACGACAACTATTTACATGGCATTTACATGATATATCACAAGTGATCTAGAAATGACTTAAAGTATTCAGAAGGGGGCCTGCGTCGTGGCGGAGCAGGTAAATTCACCTCCTGTGACGCCAGCATCCCATATGGGTGCCAATTCATGTCCTGGCTGCTCCACTTCCCATCCAGCTCCCTGCTGGGAAGACAGTAGAAGATGACCCAAGTGTTTGGTGCCCTGCACCCACATGGGAAACCTGGGTGAAGCTCCTGGCTCCATCCTGGCCCAGCCCTGGCTGTTATGGCCATTTGGTGAGTGAACCAGCAGGTTAAAGATCTCTCTCTCTCTCTGTGTCCCTCCCTCTCTCTTTTTCTGTAACTCTGACTTTCTTTCTTTCTTTCTTTCTTTCTTTCTTTCTTTCTTTCTTTCTTTCTTTCTTTCTTTCTTTCTTTCTTTCTTTCTTTCTTTTTTGACAGGCAGAGTGGACAGTGAGAGAGAGAGACAGAGAGAAAGGTCTTCCTTTTGCCATTGGTTCACTCTCCAATGGCCGCTGCAGCCGGCATGCCGCGCTGATCCGATGGCAGGAGCCAGGTGCTTCTCCTGGTCTCCCATGGGGTGCAGGGCCCAAGTACTTGGGACATCCTCCACTGTACTCCCTGGCCACAGCAGAGAGCTGGCCTGGAAGAGGGGCAACCAGGACAGAATCCGGCGGCCCGACCGGGACTAGAACCCTGTGTGCCAGCGCCGCAAGGCGGAGGATTAGCCTATTGAGCCACGGCGCCGGCCTATGTAACTCTTTCAAATCAACAAAAAATAAATCTTCTTTTAAAAAAGTTCATGAAAGGGGCTGGCGCTGTGGCATAGCAGGTAAAGCTACCACCTGCAGTGCCAGCATCCCATATGGGCACTGGTTCGAGTCCCAGGTGCTCCACTTCCAATCCAGCTCTCTGTTATAGCCTGGGAAAGCTGTAGATGACCCAAGTCCTTGGGGCACTTGCACCCATGTGGGAGACCCAGAAGCAGCTCCTGGCTCCTGGCTTCAGATCAGTGCAACTCCAGCCATTGCAGCCATCTGGGGAGTGAACCAGCAGATGGAAGTCCTCTCTCTTTCTCTCTATCTCTCTGTAACTCTGCCTTTCAAATAAATAAATATTTTTAAAAGTTCATGAAAATGCATATTATGAACAAACTAGGCATCATTTTTTTTGCACCACAATAAATTTATCTTCTAATTCCATTTTCCACAAACTGTGACATCCTGAAATGCTGGGCACTGTGAGAAAATTTTGGGTGAGAAAATTCTTTGTTGTGCATTGTGGGGCGCTGAGGAGTGTTGCTGGCTTCAGCCCAGGAGACACCAACAGTGCTGCTTGTGCCCAGCTGCGGCAGCCGAAGCTGTCTCCAGACCTGGCCAAACATCTCGCAGGGGCAGAGTCGTGAACCACAGCCCTGCTCTCCAGCAAGGAAAATAAATCAGCTACAACTATAAAGGCAAAATGGAGAGGAGGCTGGCACTGTGGGCGGGGGTCAGGCTGCCGCCCGAGTCACTGGCCAGCCCCACCTGGGCGCAGGTTTGTGTCTTGGCTATTCCACTTCTGGTCCGGCTCCCTGCTAATGTGCCTGGGAAAGCAGCCGAAGATGGCCAAGCTGCACCATTGTGGGAGGTGGAGATGAAGCTCCTGATGCAGCCATTTGGGGAGTGAACCAGAGGATGGAAGCTCGCTCTCTCTCTCTCTCTCTCTCTCTCTTTTAAATAAATAAATCTTAAAATAAAATTTATTTGAAAGGAAGAGTTAATGATGCATCAACATCTACCTATTGATTTCTTCTTTTTTTAAGATTTATTTTTATTTGAAATGCAGAGTTACAGAGAGGGAGGGAGGGAGGGAGAGAGAGAGAGAGAGGTCTTCCATCTGTTGGTTCACTCCCCAGATGGCCACAATGGCCAGAGCTGCACTGATCCGAAGCCAGGAGCTTCTTCCAGGTCTTCCATGCAAGTGCAGGGGCCCAAGGACTGGGCCATCTTCTACTGCTTTCCCAGGCCACAGCAGAGAGCTGGATCGGAAGTGGAGCAGCTGGGACCCATATGCGATGCCAGCACTGCAGGTGGTGGCTTTACCCGCTAAGCCACAACACTGGCCCCCTATTGATTTCAATCAATACAGAATTCCGTATCAGAGGACCAGTTGCATCCTGGATGATCTGCCTCTGAGCCTGCTCTCTGGCACCTTGCAGAGGATGGCTGGCTGACTTCTTCTGCATTCCCCATCGGGCTGGGATACCAAAGCCGTGTTCCTACAGGGCCTGTATTCTTGGTCATCCGGTGTCGGGTGGGTGGCGGTGTTTTCCCATCACCACGTCTCGGGGCCGGGTCTGCCATGACACCCCCGCGAATCACTCGGTTGCAGCCACAGCCTCCTCCCTCCACTGAGCAGCAAAGAATCCCATACACAGGCTGGGCCCAGGACTGTGTCCACACCTCAAACAATGGCCATGGGTTCCTCACAGCTCTCGGGACTGGGAAGTCCAACATCGGGGTGGCGGCAGGGCTGGTTCTGGTGAGAGATCTCTTCCGGGTTTGCAGGTGGTTGCCTTCCTGCAGGGGTCTCACATGGAGAGCTCTGGTGTCTCCCCCTCCTCCTCCGACAGACGCTAATCCCTCTGGACCTCATCCAGACCTAATCAGCTCCCAAAGGCCCCACGTATGAATCTGGGGACACAAACCTTCGGCCAGTAGCCCCCTTCTCTGCCTACTACGCAGCAGCTTGAGGGACCTCGAATGGTCAGGGCCAGCCTCAGCTTCCACTTGGATGGGACCACACACACGACAGGGTTTCCTGCTCTAACTGTTTCTCCCTGGAGCCCCAGGCAGGCCTCACAGCAAAAAGCTCTTCCAGGGACTTGAGACCAAATACCGGGAGGGGGCGCCCTCCTCGGCTCTGGCTCCTGGACCTCTGCATTCTGGAATTCTCTAAGTCCAGGGATAGCAGCACCTGCGGGAGCCCAACAGCGAGGGGAGGCACACCCACATGCAGAACACGTGTGTACCCCCCTCCCCCGGGAGAACCAGGCGCTGTCCGCGGGCCCCCTCGTCGGACCGGTCGTTAGAACTAAGCAGTGCTCCCCTTCTCGGGGCCCGCCTCACCTTGGAGGGGCGCCCTCTGCTGGCCGGCCCTGAGCTGCGCCGCAGGGGCAGCCTGCGAATCCCACCCCCGCCCCCGCCTCCCTGGGGGTTGCTGATCTCCCAATTTACCAGGCTCCGACGTCTCCAGTTTCACTGAAGGTGATGTCTGCGGTGCTGCTTCTCTCTTGTTACTTTTGTGAGATTTCCAAGACAAATAATAAAATAAATAAATCTTGAAAATAAAGAAGTCTTGAAAATATGGACGAATACAATACAAGTATCTGTATTTAGTCACACCTTTAAAAATGGAAACTCCTTGGTGCAGAGAGCAGCCCACATGGGTGACCGTTGGTGTCCCGGCTGCTCCACTTCCGAGACCCAGCTCCCTGCTAATGCCCCTGGGAAAGCCCGCGTGCTTGGACCCTGCCGTCCCTGGGGAGGCCCGGAAGAAGCTCCCGGCTCCTGGCTCTGGTCTGGCCCAGCCCCGGCTGTTGTGGCCATTCGGGGAGTGAGGCAGTGGGTGGAAGATCTCGTTCTCTTCTTTCTTTGTAACTCTGCCTTTCAATAAATACATAAGCCTTTACAAAATAAAAATGAAAATTCCAAAGTGGTCAAATAAATACAAAAACCGGCCAAATACTCAATGACTTTAGAAGAAAGGCTGCCAGTCACCTAGCAGGAGGAAGTGATTGGGAGGAGACCCAACCTGGGGCATTGTGACCATCTGGGGAGCCAGTGTCACAGGCCAGCCCCAAGCCCCAGTGATTACTATTTCTTTACCCGGCTCAACTAAGGTGAAAAGGGGGATTTTATGTAGAAACATTGAGTAGCTGAATTTTGCTATATTCATCCACCTACTACGGTTCTGTCTTTGATTCTAGGTATCTCTTCTCTGGGGAGAACGTGGGTTTCTGCACTAATCGGAGGTACCGTCAATGACGGGCACCCAGCATAACCGTGACGCAGTCTCCAGGGAACCCAGGGCTCTGCAACACCGGTCCCCTCATGGGCCAACCTTCCTCCTTTGGCGATGGCCGGGTTCCAGAATGAGGCCCTAGCTCAGTGTGGGCAGGTTCACACCAGCTCGCCCAGATGTCTGTTTGGAGGCCCCCTGACTTCCTCTCTCCTTTTGCGGACTGGCTGGGGACCCAGAAGTCGTAAAAGCTGGGGTGGGGCTGGCACTGTGGCAAAGCGGGCAAAGCCACCACCTGCAGTGCCAGCATCCCATAGGGGCGCTGGTTCAAGTCCCAGCTGCTCCTCTTCCAATCCAGCTCTCTGCTATGGCCTGGGAGAGCAATGGAAGATGGCCCAGGTCCTTGGGCCCCTGCACCTGCATGGGAGACATGGAAGAAGCTCCTGGCTCCTGGCTCCTGGCTTCAGATCAGCCATTGCGGCCATCCAGGGAGTGAACCAGTGGAATGGAAGACACCTCTCTCTCCCTCTCTCCCCCTCTGCCTCTCTTTCAAATAAGTAAATAAATCTTTAAAACACACACAAAAAGATTCTGGTCAACACGTGGGGCCTGCAATGTGTGACATGGTCCATTATTAACACACCCGTCTCGTTGCTGACAGTTGCTTCACGTTGCCAGGTGGGGGCTGGGTCCTTCATTGTCCTAGGGTCGGCTCTGCAGCATCCGCCCTCCCCCATGAGGGGCCAGGAATGAGCCTTCCTCCCCTGCAGAGCACAAGTGGCCCTTGACCAATGGCGGGGGATGGGGGGTAGAGGGGAACAGGAGGGACGGGGAGGGGGGTGCACTGGCCTTGAAGTCCCAGAACACAGACAATGCGTGGCTGCCACAGCAGAGCATCTTCAATTCTTCATGTTGATTTAGAACCAAATTTGAAAAATGTTACGTATCTTGTAATTTTATCTTTCTTCAGATGCAGCTATTAGGCAGAAGCCGTTAACTTTATTCCAAGATGTGATGCCTTTGTCTGTTACTAACGGCAAAAGGCAGACACTTTACGTATTAAAACATGAGTCTAGGGATGGGTGACGCCAGCCTGGAAGAATTCCATACCGCAAGTTGGATGCCTGGGTTTGAGTCCCGGCTCCACTCTCAATTCCACTTTGCTACTAAGGTGCACCCTGAGAGGCCACAGGCGAAGGTTCAAGTCCTTGGGTCCCTGCCACCCACGTGGGAAACACTGAGTTCTCAGCTGGTTTCATCCTGGCCCCCAGCTTCAGCTGTTGGGGGGCATTTGGGGAATGAACCAGCACATTCTCTCTCTCTCTCTCTCTCTCTCTCTCTCTCTCTCTCACACACACACACGCAAATAAAATGAAAATAAATAGACAAACACTTATAGTGGGAATCTGGCCAGGGAGTACAGTGGAGGATGGCTCAAGTACTTGGGCCCTGCACCCCATGGGAGACGGCCCCACGACGAAGAGAACCATCAGAGGCGGGTTGGGGGAGCCTCGGGTGTGTCCTCCATCCTTGCTGCCTCCTGAGCCCAGTCCTCCAGCCCCGCCCCAATCCACTGAGCGGCTGTGCCCCTGTCTTTACAGGGACTTACCTTTGCTCTGCTCCAGTTAAGATGGTCGGTGTCCGTGGCTGGCAACAGAAAGGAGCAGGTCAAGGAGAGTGAGGAGTTGTTTGGAGCAGCCTGGGGAAGAGAGCTGTGTTTCTTGAAGGAAGAGCTGCACCAGGACAGAAAGGCTGGACACTGCTTCTTGCATTTGCCCAGCATGAGGTCCCTGGAGAGGAGGAGCATGGCAGGTGGCAGCATGGTGAGGGGAGCAGGTGCAGAAGGCCCTGGACACAACCTGAGACAGCGTAGAACAGCCCGGAACAGCCTGGGACAGCCCGGGACAGCCCAGAACAGCCTGAGACAGCGTAGAACAGCCTGGAACAGCCTGGGACAGCCCGGGACAGCCCAGGACAGCCCGAGACAGCGTAGAACAGCCCGGAACAGCCTGGGACAGCCCAGGTCAGCCCAGGACAGCCTGAGACAGCGTGGAACAGCCCGGGACAGCCCAGGACAGCCTGAGACAGCGTAGAACAGCCTGGAACAGCCCAGGACAGCCTGGGACAGCCTGGGACAGCCCAGGACAGCCTGGAACAGTCTGGGACAGCCTGAGACAGCCTGGAACAGCCTGGAACAGCCTGGAACAGCCTGGAATAGCCCGGAACAGCCTAGAACAACCTGGGACAGCCCAGGTCAGCCTGGGACAGCCTGGGACAGCCTGGGACAGCCTGGAACACCCCGGGACAGCCTGGGACAGCCTGAGACGGCCCGGGACAACCCGGGACAGCCTGGAACGGCCTGGGACAGCCTGGAACAGCCTGGAACAACCCCGGGACAGCCTGGGACAGCCTGAGACAGCCCAGGACAACCCGGGACAGCCTGGAACAGCCTGGGACAGCCTGAGACAGTGTGGAACAGCCTGGAACAGCCTAGAACAGCCCGTGACAGCCTGGAACAGCCCAGGACAGCCTGGCTGCTCCAAAGGGGGCACCAAGGCACCAGGTGGCAGGGAAGAGCTTCCTGGGAGCGGAGAAGCTGTGGAACACTCGGAGCTCACGGAAAGGCCAGAGAGGGCACACGGATGGCAGAGGCAAGAGGGGGAAGGGATGCGTGCGCATCTTCTGAGCCTTTACCAACTGCCCGGCAACTTCTGAGCAGCGAGGCTCAGCACAAGGCAGACAGAGCGGTGGCCGGGGCTGGACGAGGGATAGCCCTTCCTCCGAGGCAGGAGACGGACGTGTGGGGCAGAGGTGGGAGGTGGTGGGAAGAGGGAAATGGGCAGTTTGCTCTGGGGTGTGTGTCTGAATCTGGGTATTCAGTCGGCACTCAATGTTTGCTGACTTCAGCTGAATGAGCCATGGTGCATGAGGAGGGTGAAGGGGAGAGCTGAGGGGAAGTCAGGTGGGCAGGGAGGAGGTCTGTGCCTCCAGGGAAAACCCAGGTTGGGTTTGGGTGCCCTGTTCTCAGACCCTGGCTTCGGGAATATGAGAGCCACAGTTTGCACGCAGGGGACCAGGGCTGCACGGTCGCCTTCCGTCCTCTGCCTACGTCATGCACATCACGCTTTCTGAGCGCCAACTGCATGCAGAGACCCCAGAGATGGAGCTGCAAATGACCCCCTCGTCTTCCTGACCCAAAAGTCCTTTCTGATCTAAAAGTTCCGCTCTGCTCTTACGAGGGGGGTGGGGATGAGGATGTGAGTTAAAATTCTCATTGGCAGTTTAGTTGCTCTTTTTAAAAATACATTTTTTAAAATTTTGAAATAAGGGCAGAAAAAGTGCAAAGACAGCCCGCAGAGTTTGTGTAAACCCGCAGCCCGCCTTGCCCTGGTGCTAACATCATACACCACCGTGCCCTTCTCAGCACTGGCACATAGCCGGCACCTGGGACAGCCCGGGACAACCTGGGACAGCCTGAGACAGTGTGGAACAACCGTGTCCTGATTCCACGGCCACCCTCACATCCAGGATGTCATGCGGCCTTGAGGGCACTGCTCAGGGTTACTCCTCGTGCGCAGGCTCCCAGGCAGGGCTGGAGCTTGTCGGGCTAGCACACGGAGGCCCCTGAAAAGCTGCAACTGTGGTTGTATTTCTTCCCACTTCACTGATGTGCCGATCACACACAGCCCCTCACCCTCACCCCTAAAGGAAGCCACAGCTGCTCGTCCTAACAGCACAGCTCCTTGGTGCTGCAGTCTGGGGCCCAGCACGGGGCGGGGCGGGGGTGGGGGAGGCTCTGCTCCTGGGTCCCTTGGGATAAGGATGAGGCCAGAACTCTGCTGGCCACGCCCAGCCTAAACAGCTAGAGAAAGAGTCCACGTTATGTGTCCAGTCATCGATTTGGGTTTCCTACGGCTTTATTGTTCCCTTTAAAAAAATACAAAAAAGACTATTGAGAAGGAAAAATAAATGCGCAAAAATTTTAAAACTCGATATAAGTTAAGCCAGAGTAAATACTCTTCCTTACATACACACGATTTTGGTCAATTACACATCAAGGAGGCTGAGGGAAAGTTTTCTTCTGTAAAAAGCCAAGGATCCTCTCGGGGAATAATCCTAGGGTCCAGGTGCAAGCCCTCATTAATGGTGTTTCCAAGCACCACGTGTAAACATCTCTTAATTTGTAATACAATTGGCCTCGAGATCAAAGTAGAGGAGTGAAGTACCTATCTCAGAACCTGTCCTCGAGCTCCATTCGTCGCCTTTTCCCGCACAAAAACTGAATTTCGTGCGACCCAGATGGGACTCGAACCCACAATCCCCAGCTCCGGAGGCTGATGCCTTATCCATTAGGCCACTGGGTCACCACAGGATCCGGGTTCTCACACCGTCTCCTTACGTGATGGCATCATCGCGCCCCCGCCCCCTTGCACTGTGGTCTCGCGTTGGGCGGCGGACGGTTCTGAAGGCGTCCCCAGCGGCCGCACTGCGCGCCTGCGCGCCAGGGCCGAACTACTCCCCGGGGGCTCCGACGGCGCCTGCGCAGTCGTTCCGGAGCGAGCGGCCCAGCCGCCAGTGCGCCTGCGCATGACCCTCCGCGTCCCGCGGGGACTGCGTGGCGAAGGAGCGGGCTCCGTCTGTTGGGTCCGCCGTCCGCTGCATTCTTTGCTGGAGGTTTCCAACCTCGGCTACCCGTTAGGCCCACCTGTTGAAGCAGAATTCCAACGCCTGCCCTACCCTCCGTTCTCAGCTGCTGTGGGCGCCCGGGCGGCGTCCTCGGGGGACCCTCGCGGATGGCGCGGTCCCGCCGCCCCAGCCCCCGCCTCGTCTCCCCGCCCGCCCGCCCGGGCGCCCCGCGTTTATTCAACACCCTCTGGTGCTTTACCGTGGGGGACGGTGGTCGGATTCCAGGGTGGGCTCGAATCTGTGCAGCCCCCTCCCACGAGGCTAACCAAGGTCCCTAAATACAGAACAGTGCTTGTTACCCCTGAAGACCTTGGGTGAAGAGACACTTTGTGGTCCCCTGCAGTGTCTTGACGCTGTGGCGAGCAAAGATTCGGCACCTAGGGTTTTTAAAGACAGTTTTCTTACCGTCTTAGACGTGTAATACCTACTGTTTGCAGATTTGTATGACATATGGGTAAACCAAACGGAAAAATTGAGATAGCGTAATGCTGCCCGTGGGAGTCAGCCTTGAGCATTCTGTTTGCATCGTTCGCACCCTTGGAGTGTGGGGTACGTCACTTCTGCTATTTTGTAAACGTGTGGCCCGTGACCCCTGAGGCGGCCAGGACATGCTTTTCGTGAGATCTGAGACGCTGTTCATCGCGTTCACAGATGCACTGACGGATGCGGAGGCAGAAGTGGGTTAAGAGGATCGCGGACTAAGGCCGTGACGCTAACTGGTCATGTTCACCTCCAGGCAGATGGTGGAAGAGAGAAAGCCAGCTGGACTCCTGTAACTAGGAGACCCAATCGGGCTGCCTGCAGGTGTGTGTTGGCCAAGGGTTTAAAGGCACCTCCAGGATCCGGTTCTCTCGATTCTGTCCTACTGCTGCGTTCTCAGACATTCTTTCCTCCCAGTGGCAGAATATCTCCAGCAGCTCCGGACTTCCCATCTATTATCCTGCTTCCAAGTGAAGAGGGAGTGCACCTGTTCCCTGTTAGTCTAAACTTCTGGGCCTGATTCCTTTTTCTTTAGTTTGTGTATTTATTTTTCACCTTTATTTGAAAGGAAGAGACAGACAGAGGTCCTCCATCCTCTGGTTCACTCCCCCAGTTGCCCACGGCAGCCGGAGCTGGGCCAGGCTAAAGCCAGGAGTCTGGAACTCCATCTGGGCCTCCCACATGGACGGCAGAGACCCAAGGCAGCGACCCATCACCTATTAACTCCCAGGGTGTGCATTAGCAGGAAGCTGGATTGGAAGTAGAGCCAGATTCAAACCAGGCTCTCGGATATGGGTGGGAGGCTGGTGTCCCAAGCAGCAGCTTAACCCACAGCATCACAACACTGGCTTCCAGAGCTGCTTTCTCATGGTGATGATGGACTGTCCTCTTCCGCACCGGAATATTGATGCAATCAACCCTGCGCTGGCTCCCTCCCAGTCTCTCACCTGAACAATTTGAAATGCCTCGGGGCTGGCGCTGTGGCATAGCAGGTAAAGCCGCCACCTGCAGTGCCAGCATCCCATATGGGTGCTGGTTCAAGACCCGGCTGCACCATTTCCAAACCAGCTCTCTGCTGTGGTCTGGGAAAGCAGTAGAAGATGACCAAGTCTTTGGGCCCCTGCACCCACGTGGGAGCCCTAGAAGCTCCTGGCTCCTGGCTTCGGATCAGCGCAGCTCTGGCCATTGTGGCTGATTGGGGAGTGAACCAGCAGATGGAAGACCTCTCTCTCTCTCTGCCTTTCCTCCTCTGTCTGGGCAACTCTGACTTTCAAATAAATAAATAAATCTTAAGAAAAAGAAAAGAAATGCCTCGCTTCCCTGCCAGTCCCTTAGTTCAGGTATCAATATTTCATTCCATTTGGGGGATATGATTTGCTACAACAGAAGCCAGTTTTTGTTTTGTTTTGTTTTGTTTAATTTGAGAGGTGGAGTTATAGACAGTGAGAGGGAGAAACAGAGAGAAAGGTCTTGTATCCATTGGTTCACTACCCAAATGGCCGCTATAGCCTGAGCTGAGCTGATCTGAAGCCAGGAGCCAGGAGCTTCTTCCAGGTCTCCCATGTGGGTGCAGGGGCCCAAGGACTTGGGCCATCTTCTGCTATTCCAGGCCACAGCAGAGAGCTGGATGGGAAGAGGAGCAGCTGGGACTCGAATCAGTGGCCATATGGGATGCCAGCGCTGCAGGTCAAGGATTAACCTACTGTGCCATGGCACTGGCCCCCAAAAGCCAGTTCTAAGCCAACTTAATTAGGGTCATTCCAACTGCCAAGAGAGATACACCCAAACCTGCTGTGGCTTTTCACGAGAGATATTTGCTCATGTAAAAGCGGAGGTCAGTTTTAGCCATCGCCACGGCTCACTAGGCTAATCCTCTGCCTTGCGGCGCTGGCACACCGGGTTCTAGTCCCGGTCGGGGTGCCAGATTCTGTCCCGGTAGCCCCTCTTCCAAGCCAGCTTTCTGCTGTGGCCAGGGAGTGCAGTGGAGGATGGCCCAAGTGCTTGGGCCCTGCACCCCATGGGAGACCAGGATAAGTACCTGGTTCCTGCCATCGGATCAGCGCGGTGCGCCAGCCGTGGCGGCCATTGGAGGGTGAACCAACGGCAAAGGAAGACCTTTCTCTCTGTCTCTCTCTCTCACTGTCCACTCTGCCTGTCAAAAAAAAAAAACAAAAAAAACAAACAAACAAACAAAAACAAAAACCTGAGCTCAGGTTGGGAGGTGACCTAAGTACCCAGGCTCCTTCCCTCCTTCCGCCTTGCAGCTGCACCATCTCCCCCATAAGGTCCCCTCTGGGGCCAGGCTTGTCTACTGCAAGCCAGGAAAAAGAAGCCACACATACTTCCTAAGTGCCGACACAGAAGAAAAATGCATCATTTTTACTGGAGCTGTCCCTAAATCCTGCCCGTATCCACGGACACGAGGAAGCAGTCACTGGCTGGACACCAACAATCATTCCGAATGGAGGCGGATGTGGGTTTTGGTGGACACACACGGTTGCGTTCGCACTGACTTAAGTCAGAAAGGGGTTTATTTTAGGGATGTTGTAGAATTCACAGAACTGACAAGAAGGCCTAGAAAAAGGAGAGGAGCTCAGCTTCATCAGCTAGTGGTCATTGTCCTCTTGGGGCTGTTGCTTTGTCAGCTCCAACCACTTGCTTGCTCTGTCTCTACTCAAGATTAAAATCTTCAGGGCAAGCATTGTCGGCGCCTGTTCGAGATCCAGCTGCTGCACTTCAGATCCAGCTCCCTGCTTGCGTCCTGGGAAAACAGTGGAAGATGGTCCGCATGCATGGGCCCATGCCGCCCACATGGGAGCCCCAGGTGGAGCCCCAGGTTTCTGGCCCAGACTTGGCCATGGCAGCCTTTTGGGGGAGTGAGCTATTGGACAGATGGTCTCTCCCTCCCTCTGTGACTCTTCCGTTTAGAAGGAAGGACATCCCGGTTGCTCCTCTTCCAGTCCAGCTCTCTGCTGTGACCCAGGAAGGCAGTTGAGGATGGCCCAAGTGCTTGGGCCCTGCACCCGCGTGGGAGACCAGGAGGAAGCACCTGGCTCCTGGCTTCGGATCTGCAGCACGCCGGCCATGACAGCCATTTGGGGAGTGAACCAACGGAAGGAAGACCTTTCTCTTTGTCTCTCTCTCTCATTGTCTAACTCTGCCTGTCAAAAAAATAAACATAAAAATAAAAATAAAAACAAAGAAGGAAGGACAGGTGAAAGGGGAGGGCCTTGGAGAGCCTGCTGCCATTTTATTGGTGGGTGGGGAGACTGCAACAGGAGAGAAACAGTGGAGCCCCACCTACAGGATGTGGGCAGCAGGAGTGGCCAGGGTAGGCCCTGGATGGCTGGTGGCTATGTGGTTGACCTTGTGAATGGGTGGGGGATGATGAGGTGAGTCTGCAACACTCTGCAAGACACTGTGAACGTTATGGAATGAACGTTCGTGTCCATCACCCACATGCGTACGAGAGGTCTTCAAAAACTTCATGAACAGTGCAAATAATTTAAAAAAAAAAAAACAAGCATGAACTTTCTTGCATGAAAATAAACACCTTCTGGGGCTGTGCTGTGGCGTAGCGGGTAAAGCCACTGTCTGCAGAGCCAGTATCCCATATGGGTGCTGGTTCAAGTCCCCGCAGCTCCACTTCTGATCCAGCTCTCTGCTATGGCCTGGGAAAGCAGTGGAAGATGGCCCAGGTCCTTGGGCCCCTGCACCCGCGTGGGGTGACCAATTGGGGAGTGAACCAGTGGATGAAAGACCTCTCTCTCTCTCTCTCTGCCTCTCCTCTCTCTGTATAACTCTGCCTTTCAAATAAATAAATAAATCTTAAACAACAACAACAAACACCTTCTAATCCCATTTTATTTAAAACATATTATTTGTTACTTGAGAGGTAGAGAGACAGAGAAAGCTCTCGTCTGCTGGCTCATTCCTGCAAGGCTGGGGCTGGCTGAGGTGGGAACTCAAACCAGGCCTCCCTCATGGGTGGCAGGAACTCAACTACCTGTGCCATCCCCTGCTATCTCCCAGGTATCTGCAAAAGAACCCACCAGAACAGCCCGTGAGAGGGAGCCCAGGTAGGTGTGTTGACCTGCTTGGGCAGGCAGACAGCCAGAGGTCGAGTACTGCTGCATGAAGGTGACAGTCCAAGAAGCAGACTTGCGACTGCAGGTGAGCTTCCCAGTGGTCCAACAGGTGTTCCCAGCCGGGTAATCTGCATTTCTGGGCGGAGCTGAGAAGGCTGCACAGCCCTTAGCTTAGGGGCTTTCCCAGTTCACCCGGTGCCCTGGAGCGACACTCCACAACGGCCCTTCCCTGGGGGCCACCTGTGTGCTACCTGCTGGCCTACTGGGCTAAGTGCCCGCTCACTTAACTCCATCCCTGTGTGTGTAACGCTTAGAATCTTCTGGGAACATACTGCTCAATGGTTTTTTTTTTTTTTGACAGGCAGAGTGGACAGTGAGAGAGAGAGACAGAGAGAAAGGTCTTCCTTTGCCGTTGGTTCACCCTCCAATGGCCGCCGCAGCCGGCATGCTGCCGCCGGCGCACCGCGCTGATCCGATGGCAGGAGCCAGGTGCTTCTCCTGGTCTCCCATGGGGTGCAGGGCCCAAGCACTTGGGCCATCCTCCACTGCACTCCCTGGCCACAGCAGAGAGCTGGCCTGGAAGAGGGGCAACCGGGACAGAATCTGGCACCCCGACCGGGACTAGAACCCGGTGTGCCGGCGCCGCAAGGCAGAGGATTAGCCTAGTGACTGCTCAATGTTTTTAAAAGTATATGCTTATTGATTTATTTTCACTGGGTTTGAATGT